TTTCAGGGTATGTGTGACCGCGCTGGCTCGCTCCAGCTTTTGGGCTTGTCCCGTGTGGGGCAAGCCAAACGACGACCAAGACGGGCTTGGATGGTCATGAGAAAACAACGCGCTCTCACATGATGCGTCTGCCTGGGCCAATAGATCTGTGCTACAGCGTCGACATTGCCTTTTGCTCCGTTCAGCTTACCAACGACATGGGTCGCACTGCAGTCAATGTGCACGCTACGAGCGTCAACACCACCAACATCAGCCGCCAGGACCTGGTTGATTGGATCAACACCACCCTCAACCTCAGCTATTCCAAGGTCGAAAATCTGTGCACTGGTCAGTCACCTCCGTTCCGGCACAGACCCAGACGGCCCAACCCACTGGCCATTTTTTTACTCACCCTCGTGTATACCGTCAACAGGCGCGGCGTACTGCCAACTGATGGACATGATGTTTGGTCCGGGCGTCGTGCCCATCAAGCGCGTCAAGTTTGACGCCAAGCATGAACACGAGTTTATCGAAAACTTCAAGCACCTCCAGCAAGCTTTCCTCTCAACCAAGTGTGACAAGGTTATCCCCGTGGACCGCCTCATCAAGGGCCGCTTCCAGGATAACTTCGAGTTTGGTCAGTGGTTCAAAAAGTTTTTCGATGCCAACTTTGACGGTCGCGACTATGACGCGGCTGCCCGCCGCGCCGGCAAGAAAGTGATGGCACATACCAATCCCACCAACTCCAAGGTGGCTGGCGGTACGTCATTCAAGGCGGATTTCAGTCAATCAAACCGTTTGCTCTCGCTGCTTGGCTTTGGCCACAGCAGGGCTCGGTCGCTCAAGCTCACACTAATGTTTTATTTTTTCGTCCGCACTGCTTAGCATCTGCCACCCCGTCGACTACGACCTCCCCGAGCAAGCGCAAACCAGCAGCTGCCTCAGCTGGCGCTGCCTCTGCCTCAGCCTCAGGTTCGGCGGCTGCACGCTCCCGTGTCTCTGGCCCCAGCACTACTGCCGCTGCCGCCAGGGACACTGGCTCTTCCGCCGCCAACAGCCAGGCGGTCAAGGAGAAGCAACTGCAGGTCGATCAGCTCTCCACAGAGGTCAGTCACACGCAGCACGCAGAGCCTACGCGAGAGGCGGCCTCCATCCATTCCTCTACATTTCGCCTGACCGACACGCTATCCAATTGTAAATGCTGTTGTTACGCTATTTACTAGGTCGAGGAACTGCGCCTTACTGTTGAAGGCTTGGAAAAGGAGCGTGACTTTTACTTTGGCAAGCTGCGTGACATTGAGATTATTTGCCAAGAGGTACCGGAAGATCAGCGCGGCTCAACCATCGAGCGTGTCTTTGAGGTGCTCTACGCTCTTGAAGAAGGCTTTGAGGCCCCTGTCGAAGACCCCGAAGAAGCATATTAGACCGCCAACTCTTTCGCAAAGTCCTCGCTCGCTGCACCAGAGTCGTGAATGTGTGTGACAAACTCGCCTGGTGCTCCTGGTTTTATGCCACTCGTTCCCATGCCAACACTTGCACTGCACCAGTGTAGGGCGCGCCGTGCTGTGCCCATTCTTGGCTTCCTCTACCGTCCTTTCCGAGTGATTTGTGTCCGTTCGTGCTTCCAGGCAAACAAGATAATAATTAACGTTAAACCCTCAAGCTCAAAGCCATGATGCTGTCTGGCAAGACGATGTACTTTGCAACTGTGATATCGTAACAGGCTGCTGTGTCAAAAGGTTTGGATATATGAAAAAAGGAGACAGGGAACCAGGATACCAGATCCCCCTCTAAATTCTAATTCTGGTCCACGACAGCGTCCGTGCGCTCGAGTGTGTACAAGTAGGCTTTGATACCGCCCACGTTACACTGGCGGCGGTCCAGCTGCTGCCAGTTGGTGGAGGTAGTCAGATGCATCTCCATGCACTTGCGCATCATCGTGAGCAGATAGGCTCGACCCCCAGGACGAACCACCCGTGCCCACTCCACCAACAACAACGGATATAGCTTTCGCATCAAACGGGGCTTGCTACAGCGCTTTCCCCAAGGCATGTCACAAACCACCCGGTCGACGGCGCCCACACCTGCCACAACGCCAACAAAAGTATGCCATCGCCAAATTAGATGCATGCCCAAGCCCCTTGTCCCTCGAGCACCATTCATGACTTACCCAAGGGCAGGTGACGAGCTGACGCGTAAAAGGACAGGATACGAGCTTGGGCAGAGGGAGGCAGGCAGGCGTTGACGTTGGCTTTGCCAGTTGCGAGGCTTTCCCGATCAATGTCGGAGTTTAAGAATGTCACATCGGGAAACTCGGTCACTGTTTCCACGGCAATGGTCATGGCACCACACATGGGATCCAAGCACACTTCATTGGGCCAAGGTCGAGCAATCCGCCCCAGGCCAGCTGCTACACTGGTTTGCAGGGATGAATAGCCTTGCTCCGTCCTAAACATCCAGAAGAACGAGACCTCTGCATCAGTCTGGTCAAGCCAAAAGCAAGCCGTACCCATCCCAGAGACTCGCACCTGTGTCGGTCAACAATTTCCTCCCCAGAGCGCACCGTGATGCCAAACACTGCTGAAAAGGGCATGTTTAGCAAAACAGCATGCACCTGTGTACTCGCAATGCAAACCCGGCATTGTCATGAGCGCGCAGAGTGGTGTCTTGAAAAGCCCCAACGACAACAAAAAAAAAATCATAATAATCATTTCCCAGCACCTGGACCTGGCGTCAATCATGGACATACCGGGAGATGAAAGCGCATGAGATCAACCTGCCAGCCGGTTCTGCCAATGGGCGCGACACGTTAGCAGCATGAGTGAAATGCACACAAGCAGGAAGCAGCCAGCCAGAAGAAAGGGAGAAGGGGCACGCACAAGGCTTGAAGCGCGTTGCCTGCGCAAGACTCCACGTCCATGCAGCGTGCAGGCCACGCGCCATCCAGGGCCTTTTCGACAGAAAGGCGAAAAAAAACGTTGCGAGCGTCGCTGTGATCGGCGGCGACGCCTGGAGTGGCGGGTGGTATGTAACATTCTGCTTCGACGTCAAAAGTAGGCTGGGGCAAGTCGGATTGCGTAAAAAGGCTACGCACAGCTTCGTGGGCCAAAGGCAAGGGCATACCAGTCGCCTCTGCATCGTCCTTGTGCCGGCGCCGAGCGTAGGCTTCTGCCTGGGCTGCAGACAATGCCCAGCGCCCATGACCAGAGGAGATCCATGCCTCCACTGCGTCAAGCGCGTGGCCACCAAGTCCAGCGAGCAAACCGTCGGACACAAGGCGAGGAAAGCCCTCAAAGTTGCGCCGAAAAGCAGAGCGTGGAAAGCTGGCCACAGCCAAGCATGCGTGCAGCGAGCGCGGCGTCCTACAAGGAAAAAAAAAAAAAAAAGAAGAAGAAGGCAAAAGAAGGCAAGGTGTCAGAGGAGAAAAGTCTGCATCACTGGAAGCTGCAAGAAAAGTGGACCCACGTGAGCTGGCGAAGCGTATGTACGGGTGTGCTCGTGATGAAGAGGACCAGGCCTTGAATTGTGAGGTGTGCTGTTAGCTGTTTACAGGCAGCAAAGACCTCGGCATCCCGGGTTTGGTCGGCAAAAGGGTCGAGGCGCCATGGCCTGGCCAGCTCGCAGAGCTGCTGCGCTAGAGGATGCTCAAGCACAATGGCTTGCTGCAAAGAGGTTGGGAGGGCGGTTTCATCCACGTGCGCATAGCTATCCCGCCCACTCTCTCGAGCCACGTCTCGTGCGCGCTCGTCAGCTGCACTGAGCTCGCGTTGCAAGAATGGACCGACAATGCGCGCATCCGTCTACAAACCCGACACCCCAGTTCGCAGACTCACGTCAAAGGCTTTCAGGTCAAGGCACTAGAAAAGACTCACGAAACTCGACCAGGCCGCGTGTGGTACCTGCACCCGGAGCAAGAGCGCACCTTTTCACAGAGTTCGTGGATCAAGGCCAACTCCAGGCCGTGACCGAGCACAGCATAGTAGAGTGTCTGGCCCTCGGGAATATCAGCCCACATAATGCTGACCAGCGGGCAGCAGCAGAGTCTCAAACTCGGCTAGCACGACGTCACGCCCAGCTTCTACAACCTCATTCTCCGCAAACCCCCAACCGACTACGCTGGCCGCTGATGCCAAGTGCTTGTCCCAACGACGTCAAAGCGCAGCCGCCGAGCACGCGGTTAAGTGTGTGTGTGTGTGTGTGTGTGTGTGTGTGTGTGTGTGTGTGTCTGTGTGTGTGTTAAAAGCAGTTTTGGTCACATTTGACCGCAATGTCAGAAAAAAGTTTCCGGGTCGCTTCGGGCTCTCGCTTCTTCGCGACAAGCGGGCCGATGGCTCTTTGGAATCGGCTTGTGTACTCTCCGGACGTGTGGCTCGGCCTGTGGTAGATGAGCTTGTGCAAGTGAGCTGAATTTGTCCGTGTCGGATCAGGAGTATGAGGATGATAGGCTCGCTCCTCGCACCTGGGTCGAGAGATCATAAGACGTGGCTGAAGCTTTGTAACCCGACTGCGAGCAAGCCTCGCACTGTGAGCATGCCGCCCATGGCGCGACCGTGATCAATGAATCGGATTCTGGAGACTCTGGTCGTTACTCAGGGGCTGTATTGTACCGGTCTCGTCTTCCCCAACGGATGGATTTATCGCTTGAGTTGGATGTAAAGCACTGACGCGATGTGAATGCTGCATCAGCGAACGCGAGTCAGTGTGATCCACACCAGCAGAACATGGGGCACGACCGTGCAACAGAACGATTGAACCTCTACCGCAACGACTCAATTGCAAACAGCAAATATGCAGAGCAGATTCTGGAAATTCAGGTCAGGGTTTCCTCAGAGAAGAAGACAGAGTCAGACGAGGGCGCTCACTTGGGAAATATTCAAAGTGTGTGAAATTGAGAATGGTGCTCGCGCCAACTCCCAGGTCTAAACAGAAAAGACCTCCAGCGCGTAGATGTAGTAAGTGACGGCTGCCCCCGTGGGGCCACTGAGCCAAATGTGCACTGCTGGGGCATCTACATCGTTGTTGTGCGCGGTAAAACGAAAGGCATAGTGCTCCGCGTTGCCCGTTCCCGCTGCTGAGAGAAGATTGTCAACACTATACCCCGGATTTGTCGCGCCAACAAACGCAAATCCCACAGGAATCTTGGCGGTGAAACGCACCACCACCGCGTGACCCTCGAGCTTGGGTTGCATTCCGACCACCAGAAACCCCGGATAAGCGCCCGGCTGGATCTGGCCAGTGTCTTCGTTGAGGGTCTCGTTGGACACGATTTTGAGAACTTGGTTCCCAACCATTAGTGGTGCCGTCCCTTCTTCGACCGCTTCCGGCATGCTCAAGATGTAGCACACCGACGTGTTTGTGTCGGCTGCGTTGGGCGAGAGCGGGTTGCAAAAGTTCCTGCCGCTGCCATTATGACGGTATGGCCCCACTGTGCTCCGCCATTCCCGAGACAGATTGCTAAAGTCCATAACAAAATGAGTCTGGCCATTGGCAAGGCCTCCCAGCACCGCATACGCCAGCGGCACGCTGCCGCCGGCAGCCCCGCCATGGAGATCGATCAGCAGCTGCTCCACGCCCTCCAGCACGGCCAGACGCGCCAGCACATCCACGCCGTTGATGTACACGCGCGACTCGGCCGTCGCGCTGATGTGCACGTTGCCGGCATCGTCTGCAGCCACCACGGCATCGTCCGTTGCGCACACGCCACACTCTGACCCCAGCAGCACAAGCAGCGCCAGCAGCGCAATCAGCCCCATCCACTCGACCCGTGCCGCCATGTCACGTCTCCAAGAGCAACTGCCCCGACGCTGCCTTAACGCAGACTCACACACACACACACACACACACGCGTGCACCAAGGCTGGAGATCTTACGGGCAGCCCCAGTCACGAGGCGCACATCTCATGCACACACGCCCACCAGCCCCAGAGGAAAATTGAGTCCCTCCCACCTTTTTGCATGCTTTTGATATTTGTCATGCTTTTTGATATTTGTCATGCTTTTTTTAACGCAGCGGGAACAACAAGAATATAATATAAACACCAACTGCACCAACTAAGGTTCCAACGCTGAAGCTGCGAGCAAACTTATCACCCAGGGGGCGCAAAAATTTTATTATGGCAAGCTTGATGGCCCAATGTGATGGCTATGGTGGTGATGGCTATGGTGGTGATGGCTATGGTGGTGATGGCTATGGTGGTGATGGCTATGGTGGTGATGATGATGGTGGTGGTGGTGCTGTTGATGATGATGATGGTGCTGATGGCAGTGGTGGTGCTGATGATAATGATGATGTTGCTAATGATGGTGATCCTCGAGAGGGGTGGTGATCCTTCAGAGACGTTTTGAAGCGTAAAGCCGAAAAGCAATGTGCATCACCTCAGAACGCCATGCAGTAGTCCACATCTTTTTTCCCAGGCGCTGCAGAGCTCGCTCCAATGCCGCATTTTTCTATTTCGACTTGGCGGAATCAAACAAGCATTCAAGCCCGGAAAACTGAATTCTTCACCATTCTGATCGAAGACAGCAACGATGGCAACCATGACCCAATGCAAACGTCAATGCACATGGCTTGTTGTGCTCTGGCTGGCCGTTTTCGTTACACAGGCAACAGCAGACATAATGACACAGTCGTCTCTAACAGATTTATACAATTCAGATATCAGGTCAACCCAACAGGTTCAGCGCCCTGGACAATGGTCCGGCTACGACGGCTTTGGCTTTCACGAAGGTATGGCACACTTTTGACTGTCCTGCCGATGGTGCCAAGTTTGAAGGCTGTTTGAAAACATTGATAGACAAAAATGATGGCCATGCCATGCAACGCAGGAACTGTTGCCACTACGGATCAAGGTGACTTCCTCTTGCACAATACTCCGTCGGGCGGTGGAGCCGGTCGGACCGTCGTTACCTCAGCTGATGACATGTCTTCGAAGTGGAAGAATGTGGGCGAACCAAAGTTGCACGAGTCCTACTCGGTAGGAGATGCCATGCAGGATGAGGCCAGCCATGGCTCGTATAACCTTTTCTCCAACAACTGTATGGATACAAGCAAGCGCGTTCATTCACACGACTAAGATTTGGCGCCAAGCATCTATAATAGCGTGGTGACTGACTTTTTGACACGTGTGTGTGTGTGTGTGTGTGTGTGTGTGTGTGTGTGTGTATGTGTGTGTCCCGTTCCATCCAAGATGAAAAACGGGCGCGTGGTGAGGTTGGCATCTTTACGCCTCAAATCGATCGTCAAAGTTTCTTTGAGTATTCACTAGCTTAAGCACCTCGAAGCCACGACCTTTCTTACGCGTGAGCGGTGAAGTGTCGCGTTTCCCGACAAGATGTTATTGTCCATGGTCGCAGCAATGACGAGGATCCTTGCTGAGACACTAGCAGATGGCGTTTGAAATCATAAATCAGATCTGATAATACTAGTAATACTACTACCATAGTAAAAAAAAAACCAAAGCTATGTCTGAAACCAGCGCCAGGACGTTCAAAGCTTCCCAAACCACGAAGACGATACATGATGACTGCTACAAAATCATTCTTGTTTTTATTCATCCTTTGACACGCGCATCCTTCTCATCCCTGTTGAAATAATCCTGTCCGAGTCGAGAATAATAATAATAATACATGTAATAATAAAAGTAGATCCGATGTAATAAAATGCGAAACAATATTATCACAATTAAATGGGGTTGAAACACAAGGAACACATGTTGCAGGTTTACTTCTTGCCAAAGACGTTGAAGCTGCGAGCAAACTTATCACCCCAGCGATCTACGCTGGCTGCCACAGACTTGATGCCGCCAGAAAAGCCCTTTTCGTTGGCTGGGGTCGCTATACCACACACATGGGTTAAGAATAATGAGGGGCTTGATGTTTGCTGTTGCTCAAAACGCGTCTCGCCTGAGAGCAGCACTTACGGATACCAAACATGGCACGCAGAGCTTGCTTCAGTTGATGGTGGTCATAGACGCCGCTCAGACCCTGATCAAGGTTGACCTTGTACAAAATCTTTTGACCAGCCTTGCCGGCCACGTTGCTGAGAGCTGGACCATGCTCGTCGTGCTGGATCTGGATTTCTCCAATCACAGCAAAGGTCGCCTGGGCGTTGGACTGGGCAATCACCTCAGCCATGGCATTTTGCAGGGCCAGCGAGGTATTTTTGCCTCCATTCTCAGCCAGCGTGCGCGCGCGTTCGGCGCGCTTGAAAGGATCACCGCCCTGTGGGAAGACGGTGTTCCAGTCCACGTCTATTCCAGAAAACAACGATGGTGGGTGAGAGCATGCGCGAGGAAAGTGCAGACACACATGGTCGCGAGGCCACCGATGGCCAATGAATTCCCTTGTCCGCTTCTGTCCACCTACCGATGCCCACGGGGCGACCCAGGAGCTCGCACAGCTGAGCCTGCGTGTTAATGAGTGCTGTGCCAACAAAGTAGTTGATCAAGTTGCGCTCTTGCGCCTGGGTCCAAACCTGCGCGGCGTTCACGACTGAGTCTCGCTCAGAAGAACTCTCAACTATGCTTTATTGTGCTCAGGGGCGCGTGGCCTCGATTGGACGCACCTCGGCATGAGCCATGGCCTCATCGTCACTGAAAGTGCCAGCAAGGCCGTTCAACAGCTGATGTTCAACGACCAGCACCAAAGAGCGAGGCCTATCGTACACGATTCGGGTGTGTAAGCGTGAGCGCACTTAATAAGGCGGACGCGGCCAGGGCACTTCGGACAACGAACTGATTCTGAGTGTGAAGGACTTGACGATCCACAATCTGTTGATTTGCCGAGTCGAGAACCAGCATGCGCTTCTCCTCACTCGTCGAGGTCAGGCGCACCTGTTTACCGGAGACATTGTGTCAGGGTCCATGTCAGGAGGCGGGCTGGTTCAGCGGACAAGGCCTTTCCGTTCCCTTCCGTTAAGGTTTGAGCAGGGTTTAAGCAGGGTTTTTAGAGCAAAACGGGTGGCGGTACACTCACCTCTTGCACAGCCTGAAGAACCAGGTTTTCAGGATGGACACGCTTCAGGCGCTCCAGAGCCCGGACCACTGGGGCAGCAAAGTGCTGGCTGCGGATTTCAGCCATTTTGGGATCGGTCGTCGTCTTGGGTTTGTCCAGTACCGAACCCAATATTTTATCCATTCCCTCGTTCAATTGACGCATGCCGCGCTTGAAGCCCGTATCAGTAGCCATCAGGCGAGCCTAAGAAGAACAGTCCCGATGAGATGTGATAGTGGAGGCGGGTGAAGGAGAGACAACTGCAATGAGCACACGCAGGAATGAACGCGGAGCAGCCAGCGTCCATTGGGCCAGCGAGCCATACCGTCTCCAAGCGCTTTTCTTGTGGTAGCGAGTTGAGGATGGCCGTTGCATCCACTGTGATATTGGTTGGGTGGCCAAGGGTTTCACTCAGACGGCGTGTGTGCTCGGGGATAGCGTGAGTGAAGAGAAGATTCATCAAGCGGCGCTCCTAAAGCGAGATAATGTCAATGTAAGAGTGCGATGTGGAAGGCAAGGACGAACCGCCGTGGCAGGTTGAGCAAGGTACCTCGGCAAAAAAGCTAATCTCGAGCATTTGTTGCATGGCCGTCTTGCCGGGGCATCCATGGCGCGTATTGGGCCGGACAAAGATCATGATGGCGCCCTGGGCAAAGGTGACACCGCTGGCGTCAGCGGGCAAAACCTCCACGCGCTGGACCTGCATGGCAATGTCAGCCTTGACACTACCATCCATGGCAGCCTAAGAAAACCGCGGAACCCGCAGATGCAGTGCCATGAGCTTCATAAAAGAACCTGCTTGGCATGTGCTAGTTTTTTCTTGGTCTTGCACGTGTGTTTTCCTGCTTGGCAGGCCGAGGCTCATCATGGGCGCAGCGAAAATCATCCCACCTTCTCAATGGTGTGCACGAGGGTGGCCAGGCAACCCGACTTTTCCTTCAAGAGCTCTTCAGCCAGGCTTTGACGATTCTACGTTGTTGGCACGAAGGCACAAGCACAGGAGCTGAGTTGAACGTGTGCCGTCACGGTCGAGCCGGGTTTCTGCTGCCTTGCATGAAAAGGCAACAAACTCAAACGTCAGGCGCCGACAATGGCTCAAGTCTACAAACCTGGGCTGAAGTGCACGGGCCAAGGATGCGGTTGACATCGATTTGCAGCGGGCAGCCACGGCTGAGACACTCGTTGAGGCGCTGCTGAAGCGCAGGCAGCGTCGAAGCGAGCGCATTGGACACAAAGGCGTGCTCTTTCTCCGAGGGCGGAACTACTGTGGCGGGCGGACCCATGACATTGGGGATGGCGACCGTCATGGGACCTGGGCCAGTGGCCGAGGAAGCGAGTGATGGGTTGGGTGACGACATGGACGACGTGGGTGGGGCCGGCAGCACAGCACCAGCTGTGACCAGGCGGAGGCCTCGGCGTGAGTTCAGCAACAGCAAGTGTTGGTGGCGATTGGCAAAAAAAAAGAAAAAAAAAAAGACGTTAATATGAATGGGAAGCCTACCGTTTTGAGGAGCATAACTCGGCAGTGCCTCGTTGTTGGCCTCCTCCACGCCGTACGGCGGGGGTGGGCGTGGTGGCGGAGCGCTCATGTTGGTTGATGAACCTTTGAGGTCTCTGTGCACGCCAAAGCAGCACCGAGTCACAAGCGTCTATGTGAGAGAGACGTGGCTGCCTATAGTCTCCTCCATCTGCGTTCCAACAACGTCATCCAAGCAAAGGGCACTGACCTGTTCAATGTGCAATTGGGACCACAATCCCAGGGTCAGGTCCAGCAGCAGCAGCAACGACGACAACGACGACGGCGACGGCGACGGTGACGGCGACGACGACGACCAGACGAGCAAAACTTGAAAACGCCACTGACGACACACACTCAGCACAAGCACAAGCAGGGATTTGCTGTGGTGGCACCTGTGCCTCTGAATCTCAGTCGTGGTGTTGTCGTTTCTCTGAATCCTTACTACTTTGCCTCATTTGTCGCCGCTCAGAGGTTTGGCTTGATGATCCCTCTCTATCTCAACACCTCGCTTAGCCCGTATCTCTGATGATCAACAAAAGTCAGAAGAAAAAAAGACACATGCAACGCGCTTGATGCCTTTTATATTTGACAAACACACACGTAACACTCCTGTAGCAAGTTGAAGGGATCATCGAATTGGGCAAGGGATTGAAACGTTGCGATGCGGCTAGAGGGCACCGAGCCAGACGGCCAAGAGGACCACGACCACGCTGAGGGTAATGATGATGCGGGTCATGTTGCCAAACAAAGCCTGATACACAAACTGAATGATCACGGGGAGATATGAGAAACGCGCTCACGACACGAGCATCATTGTCCCGCAAAGCGCAAAAGGTACGCAGCAGCCTCACCTGGAAGCCCTTGCCTGCTTGCTGCAGACGCGCAGACACCTTGGTGAGCGTTGCCAGTTGCTCTGGGGTCATGTTGGCCATTTGTGCTTGCATCTTCTTGGCCTGTTCGGGAGACAGGTTCATGCCCATCTATGCCACACATTCAAGTGAGCGTGATCCGTGCGCACTTCTCCAGTCGGACACCCCGCTGTAGGGTCAGGCAAACCTGTTTGCTCATTTGTGCCAATTGGTCGGGGTCAATGTTCTTCATCATGTCGGTCATGGACTTGAGCATCTCCGGGTTATCCATCATTTGACGAGCCTATGCCATGACTCTGGTGAGACCAGAGGCTGATCGGATGGTGGTTCTTGACTGTACAAGTGCCAAAGCATGTCAAACAAGAAGAGACTTGCCATTTCCGAGGGATCACCACCCATGCCAGCCAAGGGACTGGCAGCAGAGGGCGCGGCAGCGGCGGCACTAGCAGGAGCTGCGGGGGCGGACGCGGCCTGTGCAGGGGCCGGCGTAGCAGACATTTTGGCCGCATTTTGCTTTGCCATGCCTGCAAGCGTCTGTGGATCCATCGAGGAGAACATTTGACGTGCCATGCGGATTTGATCGGCCGACACACCCATCTGCATGACGCACATTATGCGAGAATGAAGGAAGAATGAAGATGGTAAGCGCAGATGGGCGCGGAAAAAAAAAAAAAAAAGATGATCCCTGCTGGGTCACACCTGTGCAGCTTGTTGCGCCAGATCGTCATCCGATTGATGCGCAAGCATGTCCTTCACCATGGCAATGTACGACGGGTCCTGTTTGATACAAAGAAAACGTGTGCATAAGATGTGTTGCTGGGCGCGCAATTCAGACGCGACACCAACGAATTGTATGCAACCACCGCCTCAAGCTCAACACATATGACACGCGGAGCGGAGACTGGTGTCAGACCTGCATCATGGCCATCATCTCCGGAGTAGGAGTAGGCATCGAGCCCGGGGCGCCCATGGGTGGCATTTGGGTAGGCGTGGAAGCAGGCTTGGGAGCGGAAGCAGGCTTGGGTGTGCTCTTGGGGGTGGCCGCTGCTGTGGTTGCTTCTGCTGCTGCCCCCGCCGGGGCCGGTGATGGTTTGCTTTTCTGGACAGCACGGGCAAGAAAGTAATGCCTGGGCATGAGAAGAAAGAAAGAGCAACGCCCCTGAACGACACAAGGAATCCCACCTGTTGCTCAGGCGTGTCACCAGTATCACCAGCTGCCACCGGATCTTCCTGGGCGCGTGATGATGATGCATCGCGTGTCTCATCATCCCCAGCCTCAGCTGCAGCAGGCTCAGCCTCTGCAGCATATTTCTAAGCAGGGCGTTTGGTGTCAGAACGCGGCCCATCAGAGGCCGAGGAGGTGGTGGCACAGCTCGGGCCTACCTTGACGCGTTCATAGGCGCTTTTCAGCGTGCTATCATCTGGAGTCAGGGCCATGGCTGCCTCCATATCGCGCAAGCTGCAAAACAAAAACCCGCCCAAAAGCGCTACAATGTGACAGGCGCACATGCCCGATGCACCATGTGCAAAACGACCATCGCTTGTACCACCTGTGACAGACCTGGCAGCATAATCCTCAAGCAGCTCATATGCCAGCCCTCGACGATAATGGGCCTTCATGTTGGCACCCGCCTTGAGAACCTATTGGTACGGCATCACGGCCCACAACACACAGACTCAACAACACGCTGCAACATGCCTCTCGAGCAGACCCCAACCCCACCGGGCGAGAGATAGGGTTGCAGACAGACCTGGGAACACAGATCAATGGCTTCCTCGGGCTCGCCATTCTTAACTTGGCACAAAGCAGCGTTGAGACGGCATGCCTTGACAATGTCACGGCTGGCAGCCGAGTCTTGATCCACAAGACCAGCAATGGCACGGCGGTAGCACTTGAGGGCCTCGTGATAACGACCGGCGCGAAAGTGCGTGTTGCCTTCCTCCTTCTGACGCGTGGCATTCGCTTCCCCAGGACTCTGGGCAGGTGCAGCACTGGCACTGCTGGCACTAGCACGCTGGGCATGGGCCGCCGCCATGTTGGACGCCTGTTCCAGCTGCTCGGGCGACATGCCATTCATTTGCGCCTGCGCTCGCTTGATGTCGTCCACGTTGAGGTTGGCTTGGCCTGTCATGCGAGACATGTTGGCAATCGTGGCGGGGTCCATGCTCGCCATCTGCTGCATCATGGCCTGCCGCTGCGCCGGCGACATGGATGCCATCATCCGCTGCGCCTGCGCTATCATCTGCGGGTTCATCATACTCGGATCCATTCTACCGATGTCGATGATCCAAAAAAAATTTAAAAAAAAAAAAAAAAAAAATACGAGGCGACAACGTGTGCACATGCGTAACGCACTCGCCCTCATCTCTGATTTCCCTCTGTCCTTATGCTTAAGACACAAACGCGCAGACACCTCCTCTCTACCTCAGGAATTTGTCTGACATACAGTTGGTAATTGTGTCGTCCTGAATCGGATTCGGGAGATGAGCTGCCAGCCCGAGTACGAGTCCTGCGCGCCCGCGTTTCGATGGCCCAACGATGGCCCAGCGATGGTCTAACGATGGACCAGAGATGGAACAACGATGGACCAACGGTGGTCTAACGATGGGCTAACGATAACCCAACAATGGATGAGGCTTTTGGTGTCCATGTGGCAGACAGGGTCAAGGGGCATGGGAGCGCTTGGCTGGTTTTACTGATCAAAGTTGTCTGGGTCTCTCGGTTCAAGCAGATATGTTTTGCGGGGCATGCCCGCTGGGGTGACATCCATGGATGCTCGAGCGACTTGGATCCTTTATGGGTACGTCCTTGGCCGCGTGTGGCTCCTCACAGTATCATCTCTGGCATTGTTTTGTTGTTGCAGCCACGATCAAGGCATTCGCAATTTCAGCTGGCACAGTCCGCTACGCTGGCCTGCTTGCTCATCTTGCTGTGTAGCACGCTCAAGGGCACGGTAGGCTTGTGGAGCACGTTGTCTCGGCGTCAGCTTCTGCAGTACGAAGCCCACGATGGTGCGCCTGTCAACAGCGTGCAGCTACACATTGGCGAGGCATCCGCTGTCGAGTCTGACCACTTGCTGCTGCTGAGCTTTGGTCGCGACGGTGCATTGCATGTTGCCCAAACTTCAAGTAGCGCACCGACGGAAGCACAACCCATCCTGCATGTGGGCCTCGGTACTTCTTCACTGGCCATGGCCGCCCTCTTCTGCCAACCCGACGCAACCAAGCGTCCAGGCTTTTTCTTCCATGTTCCGGGACCGGAGCCTGAGCTCCTGACAACCGGGGCTGTCGTGTTACCTGACGGGGATGACGACGCCCCTTACGTCGCCCGCCCAGCGGCAGTCTATGCGGCCGATAAGTTTCAGCACGAGAACAAAAAGTTTGGTCTGATCACAGGCCTGCATGTGGTTGAAGGTCAGCCACGTAGCATGCCTTTGCAAGCCGCCGGGACCTGAGATATGACTTCCTTGCATCCCATTTCTGAGCGATTGCCTTTTTCTTGCTCTGGCAGATGTGCTCTTCACCGGACACGAGAGCGGCCATGTACTTTGCTGGCAGCTGCCCACTTTTGCGCATGCTTGCAGTGCCACGACACCAAAGCACATTACCGGTACTGACTAGCTCTTGTCGTGCTGCCAATGCGCGTGTTGATGAGCATGAATGACCGTTCTTGTCGGTCCAACTCATGACCTTGTCATGACCATCTTCTGGTTGTGCGGCCTTGCGCATCGACTTTTAGACGCAACTTGCGAGGTCAAAATTCCCAATGTGGAAACGGCCATTGCTATTGCCAGTCAACCAGGCACTGCCCAGGGCCAGGACCGTGTGCTTGCCGTTGCTGGAGCCGGTACTTGGTGGGTTTGCGTGGTGTAGGCCGGGCGGATCAGCTCAAGGGGAACCACTTTGCATGCTTTAATCAGATGCCTGTCCACCCACTCCTTCTTTCCTTGTTCAACACCTCTGGCTTTGCACCTCACAAGCATTGTGGTGGACCATTCTGTTCGGGAGCAGCATCGTCCGAGTACGCTACAGCGACAGAGCCCTGACGGTGGAGCGGTCCATTGAACTGGGTGCCTTTGGTGTCAACAGTTTGGCGTACGATTATAGCGAGCACCTGTCCTGTCGTTGTGACTTCCACATGCTTTCTACGGGCTACCGACTTACCGAGGTGAATCGGACCGGGTAGATTCCGGGATGATGGCAAGCTGCTGGCAGCGGCCTCGTGGGTGCGCGGCCAATTCTTTTTAGTATCCTGGAAATCGGTGGGTGGATGGCCGCATCGTGAACTTTTCCACGTGGGTTGACGACGGCCAGCTCACAAGCACGGCGACGGATGCCTTAGGGTCGTGTGTTGGGCGCACTGTCAGCACATGTGGACGCGATTCAGTGCTTATGTTTTTGCCAGGACCGCCTTGTTGCTGGTGGAAAAGACGGCCGCATCAGTGTCTGGCAACCTTACCCTAGAGCTTGAGAACTTTTAACAGTGTGGCTGCGCCACCCAACCCTTCCTTTCCTTCTACGCTCGAGCGCATCAATAGATCCGATTGCCGTGCCAAGCACCCCAGCACACGGTCACATGCTTTCACAAACCGTTCTTTTGACACATTGACTTAGAGGAGCCCTTGTGTGATGCTTTGCGTTGAAATGAATTATGATTTTAGCTCAGATAATCACCGGCAAGCAACGACGAGACACAAGGGACACGGTTCGCGACGCACAGCGTCCATTAGCAACAGGCCAGACGGATGGAGCCGGCCTTTTCCGAGGCGCAGCAAAAGTGCCGGGGGCAGTTTTCTCAGGCAGTTTTGAGACCGGCATGTTGTCGCGCTTGCAGCAGGGCGGCATCGGGTGAAAGGGTGCTGAAATCAAAGGGCTTGATATCAGACTCTTCCGGCGCAAGCGTACCTGTCCACCAACCTCGGTGAAGCTGTAGCTCGGAGGACTGTGCCCTTGGCCAGGGTTGCCAGCCGCCAAAGCTAAAAGCATCCGCGGCGCATCGCCGGAGCGTACGTCCGCAGAGGGAGAGGGGATCAGGTACGGGGACCGTTTTGGGGGCGTCGATAGTGAGGGGCGGCAGAGGCGTGACCAGATCGGGCTTGTCCTGCGTTGGTTCGGATGGCGTGGACACCGAGGTAGGGTCTGGCACCATTGCCGCACTGGTCTTGGGCTGGGTAGTTGGTGTCCATGAGAAGCTGGTCAGAGAGACTGGGGCTGGCGTCGGGTCGGTGTTGGTGGTAGTTGTTGGCGGGGTGGCCGCCTCTGATCGCGCGGTTAAAAGGCTTGCCAAGGAGCCTTGCGTCGATGCTCCTGTCGATGCAGGTGCTGCCGCAGATGTGGCCTGTCTCTGAGCCAGCAGACTCGTCAGCGAACTTTGAGGTGCGGGCGTGGCAGCCGAGGCCGAGTTGCGATTCGCCAGCAGACCCGCCAGCGAGCCCTGGGGAGCAGATTGTGCCGGGGTGGGCTTGGCAGCCGAGGCCGAGTTGCGATTTGCCAGCAGCGCTGCTAGCGAGCCCGCACCAGCCTGCGATGATGTCGCTGACGATGCAGCATCCGCCTCTTTCCCTTTTCGCGCTGCCATCAAAGCCGCCAGTGAGCTGCCACCACCACCTTTGTCCATCTTGGCACCTTGGCACTGCGTAGTAGCAAATCGTGAGAGGGTATAACAACAACTGGAACCAAAGAGCCAGAGCCAGAGCCAGAGCCAGAGACAAATCCAGTCATGAACCCAGAGGCAGGGTCAGAAGGTCAGAAGCTGGCGCGTTCAAGTTAAGCACCAAAAAAAAAAAAGGAAAAAAAAAAAAAAAATGAGAGAGAAAAAAAAAAAAAAAAAGAGAGGGAAAGGTTTCAAAATCGTCACTGTCTTCGTCAGTTCATCACGCAATGTCAGCATTTCCTGCGCATGACGAGGTGAGCGAGTCAGAGAGAGAGAGAGAGATGATGCGGACCATGTGTGTGTGTGTGTGTGTGTGTGGACATGTGGCTGCCCGCCAATGGCTGGCTGGCTGGCTGGCTGCTTCCCGTGTGGGCTTTCGGTCTTGACTGCCATGGGGTTGGACATGCTGCTTGATAAGGATGAAGGCCGGTGGGTCTGATTGTGTTGCGTTGTGCTGGCTTGTGCGTATTGTTGGCTGCTGTAGGTAGATTTCTGGGTCGGAACAATTTATCGCCATGGCCGCGGTGAAGCAATGGTCCAATCTGCCGGCGGCAGCCCCGGGCCAGGGCGAGCCCTTGGCCGCGCACGCAGAATTTGAGGACCTCTGTACTATGATTGAGGAACAAACGTAGGTTTTGCCGCCAGGAACAAGCTGACGGCTGCTCGCTGGGTTGCTGCTCGATTTTCCTATGCTGATCACCAGCCTTACCCGCGTGGCTCAATGTCGACACGTTCCCTCCAGGTATGGTCATACGGCGCTGGTGCAAACTCCTTATGGCACCCGTCCACTGGTGTACGCCGACTCGACGGCTTCGGGCCGGAGCCTTGAAGCCATCGAGGGTTATCTGCAGAGCCACGTCATGCCCATGTACAGCAACACCCATACCACCTCCTCCGCCTGTGGCTTGCAAACCATGCAACTCGTGGAAGAAGCGCGTCAAATCATCAAGGACGCCCTTCGTGCCACAGATGAAGGTGCGCATCAGCTCTTGTTCGTGCACCTGCGTTTTTTGGAGCGACACCATCTTTACCCTTCCCTTCTCGGGGGGCCTTTTGCTCCTGCTCCGCCAACCCAATTTTGCATACGTGCTGACTTACTCGTTCACACGCAGATGCCGTCATCTTCGCGGGCAGCGGGTCCACCGGTGCCATTAAAAAGTGCGCTGAAATTTTGGGCCTGGGTCTCTTTGCCACCAGCGCGCAAGGCCAGTACCTCTGTACCTTCCCTGGCTGTCATCGTCGTTTTCATGACGAAGCTGCTGTCACGGTGCGTTCCACGCCGTCGCGCTACAAGCACAAGTAATGTCTCTGGCCTTTTCAGTTGTCCGGAAACGTCCTTTGGTTTCTTCTCCCATCTCCCATCTCCCATCTCCCATCTCCCATCTCCCATCTCCCATCTCCCATCTCCCATCTCCCTTCTCCCATCTCCCATCTCCCATCTCCCATCTCCCATCACCGCCTGTTGCCCAATGTTGCCGCCTCACCAATCTGCCTGTCTCAACCCCCAAAGCTCCATGCTCGCACGCACGGTGATGGTGATTTTGCAGCGCGCAGCTGGCGCAAGGCGCATGGTGAAACCAATGCCGACCGAATCCAGCGCCAGACGCAGCCCCTTGTCCTGGTGGGCCCCATGGAGCACCATAGCAACTATTGCATCTGGAAGGAGAGTGGTGCACAGGTTCTTGAGGTGCCTCCGGGCCCTGATCACCGCATCGACGCCGCCATCTTGGCTCAGCTCTTGGCCCAGCACGCCCCGCACCGTACCGTGGTGGCCGCCTTTAGCGCTGCGTCTAACGTGACTGGTCTCGAAGAAGACGTCTCGGCCATTACGCGTCTTGTCCACCAACACCATGCCATCGCTGTCTGGGACTGCGCTGCAAGTGCCCCCCACGCCCGGGTGGATCTCAATCCGACAGACCCTGCCAGCCGACCCGACGCGGTTTTTATCAGCCCCCACAAATTTCCTGGTGGCCCCGACACACCAGGGCTTCTCTGCATCAAGAAGAAGCTGCTTTCCAATGCGGTGCCCTCCACCCCAGCCGGAGGCACTGTCTTTTACGTCTCTGGACATCAGCATCGGTGCGAAGCAAGCACTGGCTTTGTTTCGGGCCCTCTGTGGACGCTCGCACATTCATGCACGCCTTGGCACCCAAGTGACTCACTCTGGACCTTGTTGTAGGTACATGGAAAACTCGGAAGAGCGCGAGGAGGGGGGCACCCCCAATATTCTAGGCAACATTCGTTGCGGCCTCGTGTTTCGCCTACAAAAGGCGCTCGGCGTTGAGCGCATCGCGGCCCGTGAACAGGCGATGATGAGCACCATCATGAACCGTCTGGCTGCCGTGCCCAACCTGTGCGTGGCAGGCGGCGACACGCCTCAGCGTCTCCCGGTACGTGGTGGTTGTTTGGGACTGAGGGCCATCGCCAGGCATCAACTGCCGTGGTGCAGGGATTGCGCTTGCTGCTGGCATCTGATGGAAGCGGACGTGTCATGCAGATCCTCTCCTTTGGCATTCGCCATCCTCGCGATCATGGGCGCTTTCTGCACTGGAACTTCGCTTCGGCGTTACTCAACGACCTCTTTGGTGTTCAAGCCCGAGGCGGGTACGATTCGCCCCACAGGACCGTGTTACCCATCACGCGTTTGCCTTTGCTCTTGTTCGTGCTCTGATCACCCGATGCTGTTGCCACATGGTCTCGCTTGGACAGCTGCCTCTGCGCCGGTCCATATGCACACCGCCTGCTGGGTATTAGCCCCGAGGATGCGGTGCAGCTTGAGAATGCGCTTTTGGACAAGCGCGAAGTTTTGCGTCCTGGCTTTGTTCGCGTGTCCTTTTCCTTTCACTGGCCCGAGGCCAAGTTGGACTACGTACTGCAAGCCATCGAGTTTGTGGCACGACACGGCTACCTCTTCTTGGATGACTACCTCTTTTATGTGGATACTGGTACGTGTGCTTCTCCATGAAGGCCTGCAGCGCTGCCGGCCACTGACGCGGCCCATGTTTGATATCTAGGAGAGTATCGCCACCGCGCCTTCCGCAACAAAAGTCCACATCGCATGTGGCTCAGCGAGGCTGTATTCGGGAGCGCCGGCTTGAGTGCGCCCGTTCCACCACATGCTAGAGTAGAAGCCAAGTCCCTTTCAACGCCTCAAGAAGCCTTGGCGGCCGCACAGCAACTGGCCCAAGAGCGCCAGGTGTGTCAACGTAGCGGTGTAGTCTACCTTTATCTCGACCTTGCTTGACTTCATGCGGGGTGTCACATGTCTCACTCAATGCCACCGCACTGATGCTTTGTCTAGACGGCAACGAACAGCACGGCCACGGATGCCGAGGCAATTTTGGGTTTGCCCGAGGGCCTTCGTCGTCTTGTCTGGTTCCAGGCGCAGGTATCACCGGCCGCCAGTCTCTCGAGTCGAACTGCAGGCCAGGCGGGAACCGGGGACAAGTCTTTGCAGTTGTTGGCGGATGCTGCTCCTCTCGATGCGGCGGCCTGGAATCAATCCACAGCGCCGCTTTCTGAACCAACCGAGGCGAATCTGGACGCCGCGCCAGAAGCTGCGGCAGCACTGGATGGCGAGGATGGCCCGGTGCTAGCTTGCCCACTAGTTTTGATGCGCGGTCGCTTAGCGCCGCCTCCTTCGGCATTGCCACTTCCTGCTGAAGAGGATGAGGGCGAAGAGAACGACGAGGACGATGGTGACGCCGATGAGCCCACGCACGCGACCATGTCACAGGCCGGGGGCAACATGGCGGGGACTGAGACTGCGGATGACGTGCTCTTTGACACGTCTGCGTTGGGCGGCGAGTCGGACGGAGAGGAAGAGGAGGCCGCGCCTGCTGCCGGCCCCACCTTCCATCGTCTGGCGTTGAAACCCAAGGTTCCGAAGAGCCTGCTGCGCACGGTGGGTGAAGCCATTCGCGACTACGACATGATTCAGGAGGGCGACCGAATCCTAGTGGGCTTGTCTGGTGGCAAAGATAGTTTGAGTTTGCTGCATTGCCTGTTGGCGCTGCAACGCAAGGCACCCGTGCGCTTTGAGGTGGGCGCGGTGACCATGAACCCCAATTTCCCGGGGTTTGACCCGCGCCCCTTGATCCCGTACCTAAAGGCCTTGGGGGTGCCTTATTTTTTCGAGTCACAAGATCTGCTAGCGCAAGCCCAGGACACGCAGCCCAGCTCCATCTGTTCATGGTGCGCGCGGATGAAGCGTAAGTCAAATCTCTGTCGCCGGTAACTATGCTGCTTGGAAGAGGGAGGGGTGTTTGGATTGTTTCGGGTTGGGCTTCAACGTGCTGTCACATGCTTATGTGGCTTGGGACCATGGCGCTGGTGTGCAGGGGGAATTCTGTATTCGTGCTTGCGTCGCGAGGGGTACAATGTTTTGGCATTGGGCCAGCACCTGGATGACTTGGCCGAATCCTTTGTCATGAGCAGCTTCCACAATGGGCGCCTGCGGACCATGAAGGCCCACTACTGCAACGGAAAGGGGGATGTGCGCATCATTCGCCCCCTGGTGTACACGCGTGAGCGACAAACACGCACCTTTGCAGCCGAGTCCCACCTGCCCGTGATTCAAGACAATTGCCCAGCCTGCTTTGAGGAACCCAAGGAGCGATACCGGGTCAAGACCCTCCTCGCCAACCAGGTGATTGCCACTTGCATTTGGGATCGCTTCGCCGCCGCTCTGTCCTGTCCTGGGGTGCAACCTTTCTCAATCCACGACATTGTGGGCAATTCTGACCGCATTGGTTTGTTATTAGGAGCACCTGTACCCAAGTCTGTTCCGAATCCTGCTGCGTAGCATGCGACCATTGATGCGGGACCACACGCTACCAGCCTGCGTGAGCGCCAGCAAGCTGGAGGAGATCAACGCGCGGGATGGGGAGCTCGTCTACCATGGACAGCGGCCGACCGAAGAAGAAGAGGGGGATGAATGATGAAGCCACCCATCAGCTCAAACAGTCTGTACCAATGCCAACCCCTTGCAAACCCATAACAGAACACCAACCCGTGCGCCCCGCGCCCTGCCCTGCTGCTTATAGAGAACTTCTTGACGTGTTGCCCAACAAATTCATTCATCAATCAGAAACTAGAAAATCTGACATTCAGAGAGATCAAAACGCTTTCATCCTCCAAAAAACAAAAACAACAACAAGATGGTGGTGGTGGTAGGAAAAAGTCAGAACCATAGACATCAACAAAAAAACATTGACATGTGCTCGCTGTCTCTTTGGTCTCTGTCTCTTTGGTCTCTGTCTCTGTCTCTCTCTCTATCTCTGTCTCTGTCTCTGTCTCTCTCTCTATCTCTGCTCTGTCTCTCTCTGTCTCTCTCTGTCTCTCTCTGTCTCTCTCTCTCTCTCTCTCTCTGTCTCTCTGTCTCTCTGTCTCTCTCTCTCTCTCTCTCTCTCTCTGTCTCTCTGTCTCTCTGTCTCTCTCTCTGTGACCATCTTGCACGTTCTTATTCCTTCAGTTTGCAAATCAAGGGCAGCGGGTGAGGCAGTTGCTCGGACGGCCAGCGATCGGGGCTGTTGGGTACTGTGCTGGCATTCACAATAAAAATCGGCTGGCTCGCGTGATCATCAGGGCGAGAGTTTGCACCGATCCAAGGCAACCCAGCATCATGCAGGAAGTTGCACCGGCCCAGGTCGGTCTGGTCGACCCCCTCCCCGCTCGCCTCCCTTCCTTGATGCCTTGCGCGGGTTGTGATCAATCCAAGGGCGCAAAGGCCTGCATCGACCCTCCTAACATCTCGTGCATCACGGCAATTTTGATTTAGTCGCCGCCATGGTACAAGTCATCGCGTTATTTCATTGCCGTCATGGCGTTTCTTGGCTTCCTCAACGTCTACGCCCTCCGCGTCAATCTAAGGTATGTGGCTCGCCTGTCATCACGGACCGCTTGATGCCAGTCCAGCCTCATGATTGTGCGGTGTTACCCGTGGCTGCCCTGGCTGAACTAGCGTTGCAGCCGTCAAGATGGCTGATCAGTACAACTGGTCACAAACGGAAAAAGGTCCGCAATGCGTCGATGCGTGCTTGGCTCCGGCCAGAGGGCGCGCTGGTCATGGTCCTGCTGGTCGACCTTCTTGATCTCACCCTCGATGTTCATGCCCGTCCCGCAGCGCTGATCCTTTCCTCATTCTTTTATGGTTACATTGCCACCCAAAGTATGACCCCGTTTGTTCGTTTGCCCGTCCACCTGAGCCCTCACCAGACAACAGCAACTTTTTTTTTTCTTCCGCCTGCGTCATATCTGGCTCACCAATCTTGTTGTGCTCACCCGCAGTCCCGGGGGGTTGGGTCGCCACACGACTCGGTGGGAAGTGGGTCTTTGGCTTGGGTGTCTTTGTGACGGCAGCCATGACGTTACTGACCCCCGTCGTGGCTGCCCACAAGGGCCTGCTTCTGGCCGTCCGTGTTCTCGAGGGCATCGGCGAAGGAGGAACCTTCCCCGCCATGCATGCCATGCTGTCCCGCTGGGCCCCGCCAGCCGAGCGCTCCCGCCTCGCCACCATTTGTTACGCAGGTATGGTCGACGGTATCCTCTGCAATTCGTCGCCACACCGGCAGATGCTCCTTCGTTCTGACAAACGTACGTGGCTCGTGGCCTGGCAGGATCATACTTTGGTACCGTGGTGTCGCTTCCCATCTCTGGCGTTCTTGCTTCGGGCGATTTTCTGGGGGGCTGGCCCTCTGTGTTTTACGTCTTTGGCACGCTTGGTGTTCTTTGGTTCATTGCGTGGGTTATGACAACCTCCAACAACCCCGAATCGTGAGTGTCCTGTCATTTCCTCTTGCACCCCAGGTCCCAATGCGCGAGGTGGGGAGCGAGAGAGAGGAAGAGGAAGAGGAAGAGGAAGAGGAAGAGGAAGAGGAAGAGGAAACAGACAGGCGCCGGGGTTTGACTCACGTGGCGGTGGCTCACAACACCATTCGCCGTTGCTCATGGATAGGCATCGCTGGATCAAGCCGGAAGAGTTGCGATTTATCCAAGAGAGCATGGCCAATCAGTCTTCCCCTGAAAAGCCCCCACCAACGCCGTGGCTCCCCATCCTGTCCTCAAGCGCGGTGTGGGCCATCATTGTGGCTCATACCTGCCAAAATTGGGGCTTTTACACCCTCCTTACCTGCCTTCCCACGTACTTTAACGACGTCCTTCGCTTCAACATTGAATCGGTCCGCACGTGTCTTCCCAACGCCATGCGCTAAGCGCTCCTATCAAAAGCAACAGAACCTGGACACTGATATTTGGCTGCTCTGGGTGCTGGCTCCCTCCATCATATGCTTAGGGTGGCATCAATGCGGCATACCCCTATTTGGCCTTGTTCCTCTTGACCATTGGCATCGGCCAGGTGGCCGATCATTTACGTAGCCGTTTCTCGACCGTATTTGGTTCGTCATGGCAGCCGCTATCGCTTGCATATGACCAGTCTCTTTAAATAACTGCAAAAAAAAAAAAAAAAAGTTAGAGGCAGTAAAGCTCATTTTGGTTCTCCGCTCTGCCTTCTTAGTGCGCAAGCTCCTGAACACCACCGGTTACGTGATCGGCATCACTTTTTTGGTGCTTGCCGGTTTTGTCAAACCAGGCCAAGTGCGCACTCTTTGCTGCGCCCACCATGCTTGTTCTCAAGCCAACTTTCTTGGTGGCCTCTAACCACCTGTTTCTGTCATGGTGGAAATTTTGCGATGTGTTATTTGACCCGCCCGTGAACATAGAATGCGCTTGCAGTGACCTACCTCACGCTCAGCGTGGGCTCGGGTGGCTTTGTGCAAAGCGGTTTCAACATCAACCACCTCGACATTTCTCCTCGATATGCCGGTCTGTGGTTTGCGTGACGCCCGTTTTAGTCAACGCCAGCCTTGAGAATAGTCCCTGCGCGCCCCCGCCTCACTTCTTTTCCGCTCAGGCGTGCTGATGGGCCTGACCAACTGCGCCGGAACTATTCCCGGTTTTGTGGGCCCCACCGTCGCCGGCATCTTGGCCCCTTGGTATGGCACACACGATTCCATTGTTGGTGACAATGTTGCTATTGGTGCTTGCACGCATCTGATGCAATGTGCCCGGCTCGGTGTTTGTTGTGCATAGTGCGCTCTGCGACAAGACAATCAATGTGGATGGATACTGTGTGGCCGACACTTACTGGGAGGGACCCGGCCAGTGCCCTCCCAACACAACAGACGTGCCCTGCCATACGTATCTGAGTGCGCTGGACGATTCGCTGCCGGCTGATGTCCAGGCCTTTATTGACGGTATCGAGACGGCCAAGACCACCACGAGCCCAGGCACCCACAACTCATCGCTGCCGGCCAAGATTGGGAACTACAAGCGCTGCTCCCAGCACATAGCCCAAGTCCAATGGCGGTGCGTTTGCCATGGGCGAAAGAGCTCGAGTGCTACGTGTCCAAGACCTCACATTCTACCCCTTGTACCCATACAGGAACGTGTTCTATCTTTCAGCGTCCATCTTCGCCTTTGGAGCGCTCGTGTTCCTCGTCCTCGCCAAGGGCACAGTACAGGTCAGCAACCTTGACGCGCAGCTCTCTTGTAGCAGCACTCAACTCTCACAAATCACGGGCTTGTTTGTGCGCCTTCCCGTGCTGATTCTGCTTAGCCTTTCAATGACATTGTATCGGAGGAGACGGCTGCGTTGCTGGGCAAGAGCGTGAATCTCCAGCCTGACAGCTACGGCCTTGGGGAGGCTTAGTCTTGTGTCTTTTTCATTGCTAGAGTGTTATTAGCTGTTGTCGCGTTGTTGAGAGCCATCCGCTGGGGCTGGACGTGTTACAGGTCGGACTGAGATGGTGCGGGTGTGCCAACTGATGTGAGGGACTTCTCGGGCGTTTCGAGGCAAGCATTCGATTATATAGAATTGGTAGAGCGTTTCCATTACTTGCCTGCAATCAAGCAAAATCGCAGGCGGACATACAACCAACATCAAATCACTCAAGACCACCAGTGGCGGGGAAGCCGCCATTTGTGAAAGGGAGGAAAGCACAGCAACACGGCACAAACATAGAAACGAGCCAGGCTTTTCTATCTGAATGTATGAGGATCAAAGCGGGAAGCTGACCCATCTTGGCTTAGCCAAAGATGTTGTGGCACTTGCCACCAGGGGGGTTGAGGACGCGGGACGAGGTGTGCACGTCACGGTGCTTGCCCGTATCGAGGGAGGTGGTGTGGCTGCCATGCATGTTGGAGGCGCGCTTGCCATGGGCGGCGGGCGCGGTAACGTGGTTGACCTCGCTCAAAGGCTTGTGCGCGGGGGCGTACGACGAAGTCGCCATGGGGGCAGGGGCCGGAGCAGGGGCCGCACGGGGGGCACGCGCAGGCGCGGGCTCGGCGTCACCGAAAAAGATGTTGGAACGGCCGCCGGGAGGCGCAAGCACGCGCGAGCTGCTCTTGTCGTTCAGGCCAGAGAAGAGTTGAACTGAAGTCATGATGCTGGTAAGGTTTGGAAGTGTGGGTCTATTGATGCACTCGAGTAGTTGAAGATGGAAAATGCCAATCTGTGTTGATCCCGCGAGGCAAGAGCGCAAGTTCGCGCGCAAGGGTCGAGGGGGCAAAGCGCAAACGGGAAGGGAAAGCAGCAGCCGCGTCGTCGCACACGTCAAATCCCCTTATGGTGAACGTTACAGGATCAAAGCTGGAGCCCGCTTTGATGTTTTGGCGCTGTATACGCGGGTACAAAAGTAACGTTGGGAACTGCTTGAGAACGCCACACGTACACACACACCTGAGAGGAGTCTTTACCAACCACAACAAGAATGGATGACAACCAAAAGTGGTTGGGGGTTTTGGTTGCCACCAACACCATGGGATTTGAATCAAAGCGCCAAATGATTTTGAATAGCTTCTCGAGTTATTTTGACGTTGACAGGTTGATCGTTGTCAGATTGATTCTCGGATTAATTTGTCAGACTTTGTTTGTGTTTTAGAAAGTGACCTTGCGCAACGCCTAAGGAGGAAGGACGGCGCACAGACGTGGTAGGCAGACGTGAGCTGATGATCAACGAACGGCCTGTGGATGAGAAAGTGCTGGGTACAAACCAGAAGCAGACTCGTCTTGTCCCAATTCAGCCGGTGCTCATGCAGGAGGCGCAGGCACCGGTAAAAAAAGTTGAGCAAACGCTGAAGGTCGCAGGCCGCCGGTAGCATCTGACGAGTGGAGTGGGCAGGTCGGGTGAGCGCGGCAGCCAAATAAAATGTGTAAGGAAGCAGATCCAAGCAAGGTGTGCCTCTTTGTTGCTAACACCGCGGCCAACCAACCTCTTGCCAGACCTGTCGAAGCTCCTGCAGCAGTTCTGGCGCCAGCACAAGCTCTGCCCGGTACCATCCAAGCCAGCATTCATGAGCGAAGCAACACGACATGAGGGGCGCGCGCACACGCACACGCACACACACGCGCACACGCACACGCACACGCACACACACACGCGCGCGCGCGCACACACACACACACACACACACACACACACACACAGATGGGCACGCTGGCTTACCTTTCTTGTCGTACTCGGCGATCCAGCGCTCAAAGAGCTGATCTCGTGCTGCTGCCGTGGGCACCTGACTGATGCGATTCTCCGACAAATCTCGAGTTGTTCCCGCGTTCATGTCTTGCAACACATCGTGTTCCACGCTTTCATTCAGCTCGGTAGCCTCGACGGACGCAGGTCCCTCTGGATCCCGCGTCTCTGGTTCCGTGGATCCCTCGACATCCTTTTGTTCCTCGGAATCGGTCGCGGTGCCCATGCGCTCGGGGGCAACCGGCTCGACTACTGCCGCAGGCGGCATTGTCGGCGCTGCCGCATTGATGGCATGGTCTAAGGCAGGTCGCTTAGCAGCTGGTTGTCCATCCTCGCCCTCAGCCTCAGCCTCCACGTTGCTCGCGCCACACGCTGACGCCGCGGTCTTCCCGTCGACCAGCAGGGTCGTGCTCTCAGCCCGAGCTGGGGTCTGAACAACGTCGGGCGCCGAGCTTTGATCAGTCGCAGATGGCGCCAATGCTTGCGATGTGACGGGGCTTGAAGCACCATCTGTGCCGTCCTTGTCAATCTCTTTTTCCGCAGCGTTTGAGGGAGACTTGGGTGGCTCTGAGGCAGTTGCCGGGCCAGGCGCCCGACCCGGCGCCGACACATGGTCATCTTGTTGCGGCTCTGGCACCACTGCAGCTGAAGCCGTTGAAGTATGAGGCATGGCAGGCTCGGCCTCATCGGCGCCCTCGTCGTCGAGCGCGAGCGGATCTCGCTCATCCACTACCTCCACCCCGGCATCTTCAAGCACTTGCTGTCTGTGTCGAGTGCGTGGACCCTGTGCCAACTTTAGCAACACGGCCGACTCCGTCTGGCGCCGTGCAGCAGCGATGCGGCGGCACTCCTAGCCGCCACCCCGAGTTCCATAGCCGAAACCAAAAGTTCAACAACACGATGAGTCGAGGTCAAGCATTGCGTTCGAGAATGGGTGCCACCAACCACACCAGTCACCAGAACGCACCTGGAGCAGTTCACCGTGCGTGCGTTCTGCGTTCTCGATGAGATGATGGCCTTCGTCCCGCAGGTCATTGGCCGCTTGCCGAATAGCGCGATCACGCCGGGCTGTCGGCGCCAGAGATTAACACCGCGGCGCAGAAGAACACACATGAGCAGGCCTTCATATCAAGCCAGCAAGGAGGCAAGGGCGAAGTGCCAAACAACAGGGCCAGTGCGAGGAGGCTGCAGTAGAATCAGACACAGGAAGGATGCACATGGAGTAAACGCGAACAGAGCTATTTCAACGGTGACTGACCAGTGGTGGGATTATACGTCAAAGCATTTTCGACAATCAAGTCCAGATCCGCCAAAAAGTCATCCGTGCACATGTACTCTTCCTCGTTGAGTTTGTCAAGCATCATCTCCAAGTTCATGGGCTGCTTGACCACTTCCATATAGTCTGGCACGTCCTCATAGGCCTCTGCACACACACACACACACACACACACACACACACACACACACACACACACATGCATTAGCGATTTTGGATCGGCTAATTTGACGGCTCTCCAGTAACAACCAAATGACGCACCAGCCGTAGCAAACATGCTAAATTTGCGCTCGCGGGTGAGCGAACGTAAAACATTTCGCAAGTACATGCGCAACTCTCGCAAAAGAGCCGCTTGTTGTTGGCGCACCGATGCCTAGGTGGACGAGACGAGAGTGGCGCCGCAGCCACACCATGAGACTCGACATTGTGATGACATTGGTTGGAGTGAGGCACTGGGACAAACGGAGACAACTTTGCGCGCTCAAGACCTGCTGACCTTCTCTGCTCGACTGAGTTGACGCGCTGGTCGCGCGGCTGCAGACTTGGGCTTGGCCATCACGCGGATGCTCCACTTGGATGGCGGCGGTGGGCGCGTGTGGACCATCTCCATAATTGCGTCCACTGCCCGCGCTGGTTGTTGCCACAGCGAAACGCTCTCCTCCTCATAAAATAAGGCGCGCAGCCGTCCGATGGCTTGAGCGTCCTCGGCGGTGCCCAACAACAAGACCTCTTTGTCGCGAAGCGGAAAACTCTGTCAAGAAGGACACAAAGACAATTGTTGGTACTACAGGACACGCCGAACAAAGCTGCGACAAAAAAAAAAACAAAAAAAAAAACATTTGACACCACCTGAATGAGCTGCACAATTGCAGCCAGCAGCACGTCACTCGCGTGCTGTGCGAGGGCGTCGATAGCTGGGCAGTAGAGCACCGAAGGCGCGCGGCGCAGCGCCTCTCGCACAATCTAAGAAACAAAAAACAAAAAACACCGATAGCCGTGCCGCGAGAGTTAAATCACGACCAGAGCACTTGGGATATGATTTACCAGGACATTTTAATGCGTGACATGTAATGCCCAGCCAGGTCAGCATGGTGCCGCCAGAACGTGCCTGTAAGACTGATTCCTCGGGGGAGCGGGTCGCCGTCGAGTCGAACAAAGAAGGTAAATCCAATGTGAAGGTCGGGTATTTCTCGTACAAGTTGACGAGCGCGGGCGCCAGGCGACTGGCGACGCCGTATCGTTCTGGATCCAACAACAGCAAGCCGCAAAGCGGTGGTCGTGGCGGAGCAAAAGGAAAACCCATTTCGGCAAGCCCTCCCTCCATAAGAGCTAGACTGGCTGTCTCACTCGCTTGCGCATTGACAAGTTGCCGATTCAGCGGGACGCTGAGCAGAAGTAGAACAAAAACGAGGTTAGGCCAATCAGCATGTGCAAGTCAACCGTTCACTTGACTCGCTCTTCAGACTGAGCGCCCTACCCCAAAAGATAGCAGTAAGACGCATTCCCTACTTGAGACGATTGGCGTGCATGGCCGGTACGATGTGCGCCAGACGCCCATTGAGGCGCTCTAGCGCATCGGCCAGAACCGGGCGCAACAGCGGTGGCAAGCCCTGTCCTGACGGCTGCCGAGCGCGCTGTGCGTTGAATGCAATGTATGGAATGCGTGGATAAGCATGGTGTTGCCGCAGATCCTGAAAGGTGAGAGGCAAGGGGGGGTATGGTAGCCAAAACTGCACCTGGGCTGCTGGGGTGATGCTTTCCATGGCTCCGACAAAATCACTGGGCGCCACTTCGATCGTCTTCACATCAATGTCTAACTTGGCTTCACTCGAGTAAACCTCTGGATAGATGCGGCGGAACGCGAGTAAAGCTGCTTCAGTGCAGAGTGCTTTGAGATCGGCCCCGCAATATCCCGTACACCGCCTGGCAACATCGCTCAGCAATTTATTGGCCAAGGGCGGCTGCCACGCCTGAATCAAGGAATGAAGGGCACAAGCACCACGGTTGAGGGAGCGTTGTCGACGACTCCAGGCGAAACACACGGCCGCGTGCGCATGGGCTCAACGCCAAGGAAGCTATGACGCTGCAGGCGCTGCAGACCTGAGTGTGGATGGATAGGATCTGCTGGCGTGCCTCACAGGAAGGCAATTCAAAGGCAAACTCGCGATCAAAGCGACCCGGGCGTCGCAGTGCAGGATCAATGTGGTCGATGCGATTCTGCGATCCCAAACAAGCAGCCGGCCTCAAAATTAGCTGTGTCCGGCGTCTGACTAGAGTCGACCGAGACATAGATTGCAAAACTTTACCGTCGCGCCGATGACCACGACGTCGCCGCGCGAATCGAGACCGTCCATGAGCGCCAAGAGGGTGCTAACGATGGAGCTGTAGTTTTGCTCTTGGCGGCTAGTGCGGACGGGTGCCAGCCCATCAATCTCATCAAAAAAAATGATGGAAGGGCGCATGGCATATGCCTGGTCAAACAGAAGGCGAAGCATGCGCTCTGATTCACCAATCCACTTGCTGAGACAGTCAGCACCTGGTCACAAGAACACGCAGCCAAGCGAGGCCAAGTGAGGGACAACATGGCCCACCGCGACGGGGAACAGGCTCACCAGACACTACGCCACTACGCACCTTTACGCATAAAGAAGCTCACATGCTGACCCGCCTTGGAGCATTCATTCGCGAGGGCGCGGGCACACAAGGTCTTGCCGGTGCCAGGTGGTCCATGAAAAAGAACACCACGCGGCGGATCCATCTACGCTTGAGGACATGGCGAGGCGTCAGTCATTTCGACGGCCCAGACGCAAACCCCAGCCATTGGTGGCGCACCTTGAACTTTTGAAACACCTCGGGGTAGAGGAGCGGGAACACGATCATCTCACGAAGAGACTGAACGTGGTGATCCAAACCGCCGATGCTTTCAAAAGTGACATGACTGCCAAGCATTTGTTCGTGTCAGCAAGAGGAGGGTAAACTGTGGCTGGGCACCCGAGATTGCAGCGCAAAGCTCGCGAACAGACCTATCGATGGACATGGGCTCAACATCGGCTCCACTATTGCCCAGTGCATTGCCTCGGTGGGCCCGTTGACGCTCCCACAAAACGTGACGATCACCTCCTGCGGCGTTGAAATTGACGGGAAGCATCTGATCACGGGCGTTGCTCATGGATTTGGATTTGCGAATCTAAAGATTGCACGGACGGGAAGGTGTATGGAGAACCAGATGGTGAGACAGAGAAGCGTTCGCTGGCACCAGAACAGGTTCTACGAGAGCAGGGGCACCATGGGCACACCTGGAAATAAAGCTCATCGGGATCCATGTCTTCCTCGGTTGACGAACCGTGTCGCTCGAGATTGCGGAAGCGAGTGCGCCGCCGCTCCGCCTGCATTGAGTTTTCAAGTTCAAAACAATGTATCGACCAATTTGAGATGAGTGCGTGAGTGCAACAAGCGAGAAGAGGGAGAACGCATGGAGCTAGCCAAGCCGGAACCAGCAACCATACGGGGCGGGTCGTATGCGAGTCACGGCGTCGTGTGCTGCCTCGCCGCTGTGAGCGGCTGGCTGAGGCTGTCGGCCTAGTGATTTGGGCCGCGCTACGCGTGCGAGTATGTCGCAGGTTGTACTGCCCGGGGCTCATTTCCTGGTCCAACTTCTCTTGCAGACGCGTCAGTCGATCTGTTTCAGCCGGTGTCAGTTTGCTGGCTAGCTGCGGCTGTGATGGGCTGTCGGTCCAATCAAAATAGAGCACGTGAGCAGATCATCCCCAGGAACGGATGGCTTGTTCCAAGCCAGCAATCCTAGTAGAACGAGTGCCACCTGGGGGGCGCGTAGCGATCCACCGGCTTGTGGGAACGTTGAGGGCGCGCACGAGCAGCAAACTGGTCGTCCGAGTCGGACCCGGCAGAACTTGGGTTGCTCTGGACAGCATCAATGGAAGGGCGGGGTCCAAGTTAAGAATGCAAGCGAATTGAGAGAAGACGAGGTTTGCGGTGGTCGAGCAGACAGGGAAAGGAGACGAAGACAGCTCGCACTGTGCAGACAAGATGAGAGGGCTGCAACTCACGCGGGCGAGGGTGCGCCGTGAACTTCGCAGCCGTCGGTGCCCAGAAGAGTGGCGGCTTTCCGTGACAGAGGCGTCTTCGCCATCTGAACCCACATGAAGCTGCTACCATGGGCCAGAGACAAACTTGAGAAGGAAGAAGGCCAAGCAAAAACAAATTCGCATACTCGTACAAAAAAAAAAGGTTCTTCAGCCACGAAAGCAGCTTGGTCTGGGTCCCTGACATGAGATTTGAAACTTACAGCGCCGGCGGTGAAATTACCATTTGCGTCAATGAGACCCGTATCCACCATGGCCAAAAGCTCGGGGTGCAAGGCCGCGGCAGCTTGTCGGGACATGCGCCTAACACGCAAGCCCTCGCGTAGAGGAGGCAGAACGACGATATCCGTGGCTTGGGGTCGAGTGATGCGGCGCCGTGCCACTGGTGTCTTGGCCTTGGCCGCATCACTGTCGTTGTTATCCTCATCATCCTCTGCATCTCCATCGTCATCATCGCCTTCGTCTTCACCCTGCTCCTCCTCAGAGTCTGATTTGGCAGGCTCAACTATGTACAGTCTGTCGCATGCACGATGAGACGATGAGGGGGTTGGGAAGAGCTGACGAGCAATGCAAAGGTAAAAAAAAAAAAGGGGGGGGGGGGGGGGGGGAAGCAAGTCAGATCAGCGAGCTGATGACCATACTTGTTTGCTGGGGGCTAGGTCAAAGGGATAGGCAACATGGGGGTGAAAATGAGAAGCGAAACATGCAGCTGCGTGAGGCTCCAGGCAGTGGAGGAGCGATGGAGCAGGACTGGTACACGTACCAAGAGAGTGCGTTCATCCAGGGTCTCAAAGCGCAGATGCCGGTGGCGAGCGCTGCGACGCTACGATTCGACCGCCGTGCCCATGTTAGATGACCCATCACTCTTCAAGCACGGTGCTGACTCGTTCATACCTGTGCAGGGGGGCTCTGCATGCTGTCATCTTGTGCGTCATCTTCTCCGCTGTTGTCCTCGTCGTTGTCGTCGCTCCCTGGTTCCTTGGCCTCTTCGGCCGAGTCGTGCTCGGCTGAATCCTCGTCACTGTCATCCTGAACCTGTAGTGGCGAGGGCCAACGTCATGCAACGACGCCAAAAAGCGACAAAAGGAGTAGCAGAGAGATTGAATCCACATCGGTTTTAAAACAAATACCTTGGACCTGACATTCGCGACGGCATAGACGGAGGCGGGAGCTCGGCGCAAGCGAGTGGAGCGGCGCCGCGGTTGCTCCGTTTCCTAGAGTTTGGGCGAGGGAGAATCAAGATCGACGGGTGCCGAGTTGGCAAAAAGCCATCAAGGCGGGGTGCTGGGCACTGGGCCCTGATCGACGTACCGGCGCACTGTTTTGGCTGCTATTGTCGTCGTCCATGATGCATTCGTCCCTGGCAAGAATGGCGCTTTTTGATTGAGGGCACATCCGAGAACACGGCGAGCGAAAACGCATCGAGCACCTGACCATTGCAGGTAACAACCAACCTGCTCACACGCCACGGCTGCAATCGACCAACACCCAGCGTCAACTCCTCGCCCCCACCCACAGGCACGCAGACATTCAAACACACGCACGCACGCACGCACGAGAGGGGCCCTCGCTCGACCACCTCCCGGCGCAGCACTCGCCGAGCTCACACACACACACACACACACACACAGTCGGAATCGGATCCCAACGGTTAATAAGCGATAATGTGATATACGTCACACATTAAGGCCAAGTAAATGTCAGATTATAATGTCAGCATATATGCGGTGACACATGTAGCGTGTGTTTTGGGTTTTGGAGTTTTGGGGTAGGGTGATGTGTGCTTATCCACGTAGGCGGGGTTTGTGTCGTGGAGAAGCGAGTAAATGTAGATATCAACCAGATATCAGTGTTAGTTTATGTTTGTTATCCATGTGTTTGTGTTACAAGTACGGGCCGTCAAGGAGCAGCCTTGAACCTGTCATTTTTTGTTTTGATTATTGTCATCGCGTTTTGAAGACTTTTTGAAGATTTTCTCGTTTCATCAACGTTATTGTTGCTGTATCCATTGAAGGTTGACGTAGATGTTTGAACACATGTACGTTTTTCCGAACTGCCACGACAACATCGACCTGCACATCCTCCCTCTCGCTCTCGTTGTTTCATCTCTCTCTGAATCTCTCCCTCATTCATCTCTCTTGAATCTCTCTCTCTCCTTCATTCATCTCTCTTGAATCTCTCTCTCTCCTTCATTCATCTCTCTCTCTGAATCTCTCTCTCTCTCTCTCTCTCTGAATCTCATTCATCTCTCTCTCTCTGTGAATCCCTCTCTCTCTCTCTCTGAATCCCTCTTTCTCTCTCACACAATTCATCTCTCTCTCTCTCTCTCTCTCTCTCTCTCTCTCTCTCTCTCTCATATTCCTCATTCATCTCTCATCTCTCTCACATTGATTTGGCAGCCATTGCCATCGGATGCAGCTTTGGCGGTGGTGTGTTGATGCGGAAAAGAGGCCGTGCTCATCTGATTGCCACGACAACGACAACGACAACGACGACGACGACGACGACGACGACGACGTTGATCCTGTCTGATCGGCAACTGCTCGCACGCACAACCGTTGACCTCAAGACCCTCCTTTTTTCGCTCAGCTGCTTGTTTGGAGAGAGGGGCGGACGACGTCGACTTGCGCGGGCGCTGCTTCTCGAGGCTCCTTCCGTCTCTTGATCGCCTTCTGCGTGAGGTTGCTGGCGGTGTGACCAGCAGCTTTGGGCATTTTTCTCTTCTTGTCCCCGTCCTTGCTGTGTTTGCCTCATTTGTTCTTCCAGAGTACCGACCAACTTTTTGCGACCAAGAGTTTGGCTGAGGCTGCCCTCGCCACACCACCGCACCGCGACTTTGACGCTGCCGTTCTGCTTGTGTGGCGCGCTTCCCGTTTCTCTTTCCGACCTGCGAGCTTTGGTCTTCCTTTGAGCACTGCTTTGCGCCACCACCTTTCTTCTCGTGCGCGCGCATCTTTTTGCTGCCGCGCGGTTGTTCGCTGGTGTCAGCGCCCATGACGGGGCAGGTTCGCGCTCAACATGCCTTCCGCCGCTTACGCTGGCGGCCTGTAACCTATGGTAGCACCGCCGTCGCCAGCCTCGTCGGCTACAACTTTATGATGAGCGACGAGGGTGACGCCGTCTCTGGCACGCCCATCCTCGACCCGGCCATCATGGATACCGCCCTGGCTGCCATTGCCACGGCCCGCGCCGTATATCGCCCCAAAGTCATGCAACAAACCGACGTCGAATGGTTTCTTCCCGTCCTCAGCCAGCGCAACGTGACCCGCTTCCGGGTCCTCCACTTCCACCCGGCGCCGGGCAACTCTTTTCGCAACGAAAATGGCCTGGCCTGCCATCATTGCGGCTCCACCTTTATGATTGCCTCCCTTACTTCTGGCTCCTCGACCCTCCGTGAGCGCATTGCCCTCGTCTCCTCCTCCAAGCTCAGCCGCTATCATTGCTCGGCCTGCTACCACTCGGTCTGCGGCGCCTGCTCCGGGATGAACGAAAAGCTCCGCGTCTGCTCTGCTTGTCAAAAGCTGCGTCCCGCCGCTCGTTCAGAGGTCAGTCCACACTCCACTCGCCAGCTCTTTTCAAGTTGCCCCCACTTTGTCGTTTTTGGTTTTTGTTTTCTTGTTTTTTTCCTCCTCCACCTTGCTCCCATTTCTCCCGTGTCTGAACCCCTTGGTCATCTCAGCTTTGGTCTTCACGAACCCCGTTTAGATTCAATATGGTGTCATGCGACTGCATGAACAACGCGCCATTGTGGTCTCGTTTCGTGGCACCAAAACGCGAGCCGACATTGCCATTGATGCCAAAACCAAACCCAAGGATCTTCTGGCTTTGGCGCACAGCTGGGGCTTCACGGTGCCTTCAGCTGCCAGCGACACGCCCACCGAGCCGGCCAATCAACCCATATTTTCACGCGCACCACTCAGCCCCTACCCCGTTTTTTCTGGCTCCGTCATGAACCCCACCCCCACCAACTCTGCAAGTGCCGTGCCCCCCCGACCGCCGCCACCCCACACCAACCCGCACAACCCCGTCCGCCCCTCGCTACTTGTCCATGGCGGCGTAGTGGACCAGATTGCTCTCTGCTACGACAGCATCAAACGCCACATCCTTGAGGAGCTAGGCAAGGTGGAGAATCGACGCCTGCGCCTGGTGCTGTGTGGCCATTCGCTCGGTGGCGGCTACGCCTCGGCCTTTGTTCTTCTAGCCCTTATGGACCCTGAGTTGCGGCCCGTCATGCTCAAGCACGACTTTCAAGTCCTGACTTTTGGTAGCCCGCGCATTCTCTTCCGTGATCACTCGCTCGAGCAGGGACTGGATGCCATTGCTTCTGCGCAAGGTTCCTCTCGAGCCGGCACCTCGGATCAGACTTACTCGGGTGCCGCTCACCCCTTTTTCGAGCGCCACTTCACCTCCTGGGTCAACGAGGAGGACATTGTACCACGATTGCTCGGCAATAGCGTCCGAGGCCTGGGCGTGGCCCAGAGCGTGCTGAAGCAGGTCGCCAACAGCCTCATGTCCCTGCAAGTGCATGCCGACGAGCTTGAGGATAATCTCGAGCATTTTGAGCACGTTGGCCGCGTCGTAGCCCTGTCTGGGACCGGTGATTGTCGAGACATTGATGCTGCGCTGACGGATGACTTCTTCTCCATGCGAGGCCTGGTGTACAAGTCGGCGATTGCAGCCCACATGACGGCCGAGTACGAACGTCGCATTGCCACTGCCTTTGGCCGCTTGACCGGCATGCCTCTCTTGGCGGCCGAGGCCGAGCCTGGCCCAGCAGCAGCCGAGCAGGTCGCACATGGCCCCGAGCACCGCCTGCTCATGGTTGAACGTGACGTGGCCGAGAGTGTGGGAGCCACCTCTTCCCTGGCCCTGTCGCGCACGTCAACTGATCGCCTGGACGACCTGGCACTGGACGAGTCCACCAACGGTTCTGTGGCTGAGGAGATGGTGCAAGCTCGTGGCTTTGTCGTGATGGAGGGACTCACGTAGTTTGCAGTTTGTTACGATCACCTTTAAGAAAATGGGGCATGCCCTTTGATTCGACAACCGATGGTGATGCACCAGCGATGCACCAGTCTTTCTCGTCGCAGACTACTTTGAATAATAATAATAATACTAAAAAGGCAATAAGTGTACCACCCCCTGACCCCTGACCTGGTATTTGTCGCTATGATCATCTTCCCGTGGTTCTCGCGACAACTGTTTCTTGTTTGTATGTTTTGCGCGCCGTTTGCACCGACTGTTTCATATTTTTGTTTGGTGTCGATAAAACAAGTGCATAAACGAAATTGATCTTCAAGAAAATCATCGCCGTCAGGGTCGCTCGATCGAGACAAGATAAGATATGAACTTCAAAATCCAATTCTGATTAGGGTTGAGAAGAGATGAGACAAAAACGGCTTACTCGGCCTTGGGGGCCTCGAAGTCCTCAACAACGAGATCACCGTTGTCAATCTCCTCAATCAGAGTGTGGGGGTGCTTGCCGTCGACGGTGCAGCCGACCGACTGGCAGGTACCGAGGATCTCCTTGACGGTGCCAGACATGGCGCGAGCCATGGAGCGGCCACGCATGGTCTTGGCAATGCCGTACACATCGTTGTAGGAGATGTTGCCGTTGTGGGCAACGTTCTTCTCTTTCTTGCGGTCACGGACGGGCTCCTTGAGGGCAGCAATGACCAGAGAGGAGGCCGAGGGGACGACCGAGACGGTGGCCTTGCTGCACACGAGGAAAACCGAGACAACGAATGAGGAATTCGACACAAAAGAAGCAAAATGACGAGGACGTGAATCCAAAGGACGATCAAGTCTTACCGGTTCTGGATGGTGAGCTTGACGGTCACGCGGAGACCCTTCCAGTCCTTGGTGCCCTTGGCAATGTCATCACCGACCTTCTTGGGGGAGAGACCGAGAGGACCAATCTTGGGGGCCAGAGCCGAAGTGGCACCAACCTCACCACCGACGGCGCGGAGGTAGACTGTAAAAAAAAAAAAAAAAAAAAGGAGGTAGAAACCAAGTGAGGTGCCCAGCGCAATTGGTGCACACGTGCACACGTATTTTAATCTTGACCACATGCGTAACACACGTCAAACAAGCAAGACTCAGTAAAAAAGAAAAAGCTTTGACTTCAGACAAAAGGAATCATCACAGGCGGCAGGGCATGGCGTCCCCACCATCAGCCAGGGATAACTGTATAAGAAAAGTGTCATCAAGAGTCAAAGCCGAACGGCAGGCAATCGAAAAAGAAAAAGAAAACAAAAAAACAAGAAAAAGGGCACGTTGACTTCAGACAGAAAGAATCATCACAGGCGGCAGGGCATGGCGTCCCCACCATCAGCCAGGGATAACTGTATAAGAAAAGTGTCATCAAGAGTCGAGCCCACGCACAACAGCAGAGCAAGTGGCACCGAACCAGCAGCCCAGACCAGAGAACGAAGAAAACCACCCATGTGGGCTTCAACACAAATGGCAGTCGGAACGGCCAAGCAAAACAACGTTTTATCACAAGCAAGAGCCAGACTGGCCGACGGTCAGACAACAATCGGCAACGGCAATGGTCCGAGAGGCATACCGTAGTCAATCGCGTTGGGGTCAAACTTGGGGGCCATGACGTCGGTTTGAGAAGAGAGATGGAAAAGTGAAGGTCAAGTGTAAGACTTGGAGCAGAGCCGATGCCTTTGAGGGCCACGGAAGAGTTGTGCTACCAAGTCAAGCCACGAGACACGAGCAAAGAGCGACCAGGAAGATGAAATGCCACAAGACGTGGGAAGGGGTCATGCATTCAGGTAGAGCCGGCGATCGGGGGACGACAGCACGGTGCGGCAGTGGCCGTGTTCAGGTCAACCCCAAGGCCACAGATCGCTCAGGGCGACGCTGGCACCTGGTGACGGCCGACAGGGGCCGACAGGGCCGCTGCCCTCGATGGCAATCCATGACGGGCTGTCTGTGTGCTTACCACCAGTCAAGTCGAGGGGGAAAAAAAAGTGCATGACCTCGGGCTCAAAGCTGAACGTCAATGACTCGCTGAGATTCACACACGCGCATGGCAAGATTGTCAGCAAATGTTTGGAATAGCTGTTGTACACAGGCTTCTGTTTGAATGCTTGCTTGCATGGATGTTTGTTGGTGTTAGAGTTGTTGTTGTTGTTGTTGTTGTTGTTTTTGTCTGTTGTGCTGGGATGGGTGCTGGAGCCCCAGCGAGCAACCACAAGGCTGTGCAGCCACTTGGAAACGTTGAGGCGGCTCAAGAAACCAAAAGGGCAAGGGGGTGCTTCTGAAGGCAAGGATCTTGACTGGTGACAGCAACAAAGTGGGTGAGAGCTCTGGCGACACGCTCAAGGACCGGCAATCATGGGACAGTTGGCCACCAAAGATACCGTGGCGCACACCGCCACACTGCATCGCCAAAAGGTAGACACTTCGTCCCCATCAAGAACACACTCCCACCTTGCCTGCCCGTACACTTCTGCTCGGGTATTCCTCACCCCGATCGGCTCCTCGCGCCAAGGTGACCAAGCGCGAGTACACACGTGCTGATCTCGACCAGATGGTTACCTACCTTGTCTCTGAATCCCGACGTCTCAAGGTGCGCACCTCCAGTCTTTCAAGATGCTATGCTCTGCCAGTTTAGCAGCCACAGGACTGTCGTGTGGCTTTAGCTTCGCCCTCTGCCCAACGTTGCTGGCCAGCCAGGTGGCAGGGGATGGTACTCGAGCCACTACCCATCCTCCGTCCTCATTTGATTTACTCGCCTCATTTATTTATTTTTTACCCTTTTTCATTTGCCTTTTGTGGTACCTGTGCAGACCCATCTGCGTGGCCTACAACAGCAGCCCCAAGGCTGGCAGATGGAATACGGTGGTCTTGCTCCCATCGGCACTGATCAACCAGCGGAAGCCTCGAAACGGCCTGAAAATGTGACCCAGAATCGGTGCGCGTCCCCAGATCGCCCACCCAGCCCTGCCAATTCACCTGGAACCCGACTGTCGTCCAGCTCACCGCCTTGGTGTCACTCATTCTCGACCATAGTTACATCAATATCGTCGCCTACGATCATTCCCGCGTCACCGTCAAACCCAGTGAGGTCAGTGTCCGTGAAGTGCCCCGGTTCTCAAAGCAAAAGCGCGCCTTCCACCACAGTCTCACGGCACGTCGGCCTCATTTGCCTGCTCATAGGCTACGAAGAACAACGACTACATCAACGCCAATTGGGTTCCGGGCTACAAAGGCGATAAGGCGTATATTGCTTGCCAGGGTCCAGTTCCAGATGCCTTTGCCGCGTATGCCCAGCTGTCCCGGCACCGCCCACCCTGGCCCCTTTCTATTTTTATCTAATTTCTTTCTCTCCGTCACAGGTTTTGGCAGATGATCTGGGAGCAAGCCGTGGGCCTTATCGTCATGATCACCAACGAGGTGGGCTTCCCCTGCATCTTTCTGCCTTGAGTGAGCTTGTCCAACCAAGCTCGCCGTCGTACCCCGTTCCCGCTCATGCCGCGCGCCCCTAGGTGGAAGCCGGCAAGCTCAAGTGTCACCGCTACTGGCCCGACCCCAACTCTGAAGTGAGAGATTGTGCCGTGCCGCCTACCTCTGGCTTTGCAATGACACATCCTGCTCCCAAATGATCCCCGCCCATGTCCGTGGCTCACATTCTTTTGCTTTAGTTACGTGTTGGCAACTTTGTTATCAAAAGCATCTCCGAGGTGGCTCGCACAAGCTTTATTGAGCGCCACTTTGAGCTGACCGACCAGACGTCTGGCCAGACCGTGCCCGTTCAGCAAATGCAGTACATTCTTTGGCCCGGTCAGTGCGCTTCGCCAGCCATGTGCCGGCAGTGGACCAACCCCATGCCTGGCCTCAGCACAGCCATGCCATTCCCTACTCACCCAATCCACCTCACCCGCTCAGACCACGGCGTCCCCAACACCACCCGTGACCTCCTCAACTTTCGCGATGAAATTTACCGCGCCCACGACCCACGAACGCCCTTGGTCATCCATTGCAGCGCGGGTGTGGGGCGAACCGGTACCTACATTGCCATAGATCGTTTGTGCAATGCGGCTGAAGACATGCACCCCATGCTACACCCGCGCGACGTGGTCGCGGAAATGCGAAAATCCCGCAACTTTCTTGTGCAAACCCTGGTACGCTGCCGGTTGCTGTATGCACTGGTCACTTGCCTGTTTCGCTTGCTTTGATTCGTTGGGTTCGTTGGCGCTAACAGTCTGCTCCGTGGCAATCTGGGGCAACAGGTACAATATGGGTTTGTGTACTTGGCTTTGTTGGATGCGATTGATCGAGGCCTGGGGCAAGCCAAGCAGGTTCGCACCGAGCCCAGCCACCCATCAGCACGCCGAGCGTAGTCCATCGTCTCCGTATTTCCAGCTCACTTCACTTGGATGCTCCCACCCCACTACCAGGCCATCAGCTTGCTGGACGAACAGGCTGGTACTGTGCTGCAGACGGAACTCAACGACCTTAACCAAGAGCTGGCCGTCGCCGCAGAGGCTCAAAAGGCCCATCCCGAAAGCGACAAGGGCCAGCAAGATATTGAAAATTTGCAAAAGCAGACAGAAAACGTCAAGACGCGCGTGACCACCCAAGAACGCATGCACGCCTTCATGACAGCTGTGGGCAAGAAAACGGGTACGATCACGGCGCCCTGGCCCACCCACCCCGCCACCAACCCCCATCAATCTCAAACACATTTCCGCTATGCCTTGACGTTTGCCTTTAGCATCGGCGAATCGCGACGAGTTGGTGGCTGACTGGCGTGGCCTCGAAGAGCGCGTCAAGTCTTACAAAGAAGAGGTATGATCGCACCTATATCTTCACTGCGTGTCTGGACATCTCGCGATGGGCGTTGTGCTTGAATTTTGAAGCTAATGCTCCTGAGAATATCGGCCTGCCTGCCCGTTTTGCAGGCTGACGCCGGTGAGTTCAACCGCCAATACTCCACCGCCGTCAATGCCTGGCAGCCAGACCAATATGCAGTCGAAGTCTCGTTGACTCCCCTCGAGTCACGCAAAGCTGCTTTGACAGCACAAGTGGAGGTGTGTCCACGACCATACATGCCATCTTGACGTTGTTGTCGATATCGAGTGGCAGCTTTCTTGATTGGCTGCGACTTCAACTCGAAAAAACTATTTTTCCTCTCGCACACACTCACATACACTTGGTCTCTCTGCCTGCTCACTGGGGTCATGCGCTAGGCCATCAGGCTACGTGGTAAATCTTACCGGCAACAAATTGATGACTTTGAACGTGAGCGCCTCTTGGATCTGAAGCAGCGTGTCCGCTCTTTGCAAGAATCCGTGGATCATGCTGAGAGCAATGCGCGCAAGATTGCGCGTCGCGCTAGCGACGTGCGAGTTGCTGGTCTTGGTGCGTCATCAACCTCTGCACCAAATGGCCGTCGTGGCTCTGTGTGGGTGCCTGTGTGCTTGCTGAAAGGATTCTCACAGCACATTGCTTCGGTGACGCGTTGATACGCATTTCCATCGATGACAACGGAACAGCGGCCGCAACTACAACGTCCCTGACCCAACGCGTGTCCTCCTTGCAAGTGTCCAACGCATCGTCTGAAGTTGGGGGCCGTGTCGTTCCTACCCCTGTTCCAGTGAGTTTCATCCCATGACCCTCCCTTGATTGAAATTTGTACGTTGATGACCGCTGCGGTTGCCTCACCACACTCGTTGCGCTACCACCATGGATAATGTGCACTCAAAGGCCAAGGCAGGGGGCCCCGTGCCCCTGGAGGTCGAGGCCACCCCCGAGTCAACGCCCGAAGCACCGTTGGGCGAAGAAGGCGAGCTCTCTGAGCCAGCCACCGTAAGCTCTGCCGAGCTGTACGACAACCTGATTGACAACGTTTGGCAAAATTCAGCCGACGTGGTACCCGAGGTGGATGCCAGCGTGCAGGAACAATCCTTTACCGCACTGCGCAAGGCACCTCCCAAGGCTGCCAAGGCTCATCCGATGGTGCGTGCACATGGCTCTGCTGCCAACTCGTACGCGGTCTTGTGTGTGTGCTCTTGACTCTTGCCTCACATGATTGGTACTTGTGCGAGGGCTGTAGATTGCGGCAATGGCCAAGACAAGTGCCACCAAGTCCCCGTTCAAGTAAATCCAAATCAATCATAATGCCCACCCCTTTTCTGAATGTGGTAGTGGTGTGGCCAGCAAGGCTTGACCAACTGACGCTCCAGCGGTTTGTTTCGATCCTGAAGCTGGGAGATGGTGCTCAGTGAAGAGACAGAGTGCACTGTGCGCTGTTGAATGGTATTAACATGATGAAATTTATCAGATTTGGCAGCTGACTAGCCCATTAGACCTCACTACTCGTGATGAGGGGTCCAGCATACCACAGCTTCACGGCCACAGGATCGTTGCTCGTATTTGTGATGCTTCGCAACGGGACCAGATGGTCAAGATTGAGCTCCGTCGGCTCCAAGGCCAGTGCCTTTTTCAGCAGCTGAGACTGATGCTGCACGAGTCAGGAGAGGCAAGGCGAGGGGTCATCAGCTGGAACAAATACATACCAGCGCGATGAAGACACAAAGGCGCCATGCAGCCATGCACCAAACGCAGAAACGCACCGGCATTTTACGAATTGTTGCCGCGTTTTGACGCAGCACGTCCTTGATCGACTTGGCATGGCGATGCGAAGCGTTCTATGGCACAAGGTCAAACATGGTCAAAAGCCAACGATTGCTGGAGCTGATCCCTGAGCCTCCACGCTCTCAAAGTACCCTAACCCACCCACCTGCTTCAAGACTTCGGCAGTAATGCCGTGGGTCGTGGAAGAGTTGGAGTAAACGGCACTGGCCACAGATGCCGAATCTTCTGGGACGCTAGTTGCTGACGCCAGGGCCTGTGGCATTTTGCTGGACGTGTCTGCAGCCAAAGTCAACATTTAAAGTTGACAAACTGAGGATGTGGCAAAATCTCGAAATGCTCACAAACATGACTTACCCAAAGCCACAAACGGCGTGGTGACCTCGTCCAGGTACTCAACCGCAAACTTATCTTGTCGCAAAAGCTCTTGCACGCGTTGACGCGAAAGATTAGATGGCTGGCCAGAGCACAGGCAAGGAGATGTAAAACTCAAGTGAGCGCAATGCCAGCACGAAATAGATAGAAGCGTATTGGGAAAAAAACAATAAAAATAATAAGAATAATGATAATAATATTGCTATTGTAGGTGGTGTAGCTCGTACCTGATCCTCCTGGCTCGAAGCCGGTTGGGCTGCTTGGAGATCAGCATCCTCAAAGCTAGCTTTGGAACCAAACTTTCGCGCTACACGCCCCAAGTCAGCCTCGGCACTCACAGTCTAAATCGGTGGTGACCTGCATGAGTTCGCTCTGACAAAAAGGCTCGGGTAAACCTTCGGTATCTCCTGTGGCGCATGAATCCAAAACTTTGCAAAACTAACCTCATCGACGGCCTTGCGCAGATTGCGCAGATCAAAGGTGGCAGAGAGCTAAAATGTGCATGGCCAACGGAGAAGTGAGATCAGGCACAAGAAGCCAGGAGGACCCATGATTCCCAGACCAAGGACGCACGCGTTTGAGAAACTGCGCCAAGAAGGCGGTGGCAATGGTCTTGTTAGCCACAGCCCCTTCCTGTGCAACAAAGCGCAAAGAAACGGTGAAAAAATGGAATTGATGAGCGGCTGATAGCACTAGATGCGCGAGACGCCGGTGTACTCTGCTATGGACTCTGCTATGGACGCACAGGAATGGTTAAGACGGCGTTGATGGTCTGGATGGTGAATTGGGGGCCAAACACTGAGGCCATGCGGAGAGCGACGTCCATCCACGGCGTCTAATCCACGGAAAACAGGGAGGTCATTAAAAGTGTCGCGCGGCGCACGCTGGGTTCCGGATGCGCACACACAAACCAGCGTGGGATCTGCGGGATCGGTGATGGTACGAATCGTCTGCACCAGCGCCGAGTAGACAATTTTGCTGATGCTCCCAAAGTATGCCACGTCCCTGTCATGGATTGGGTCCAGTGAGTGTGATGACAGCAGCAAGCCAGACACCCAACGCTGAGGGTGTCCAATCACTCAAGCTGAGCACAAAGCAAGAAGGACACAAACTTTTCAGGCGCGCGGAGGGTTGTACGGCTGCCTTCCGAGACGTTGGAGCGCGAGCTCATGACGCTGCGCGTGAACGAGTCCAGCAATGCCGTCAGGTACGCTGAAGAGGAACGTCGGGCAGGCTCGCCTGATGCTGACGCTAAGCTCGTCATGCTCTCGCTCGTTTCTAGTCGTTCACAGATGGCGGCATACACCCCACAAAATGAGTTGCGCGGCATCGCGCAGCACAAAGGGGTGCAAGAGGCATCTAAAATCGGCGAGACGTGTGGCCAAAGTGCATCATTGACATACGAAGGCGACAGCGCAGGCGAGAATCTAGGACGCGGATGCTGAGCAGTCGCAGCTGATCATTCTCTGCGGCACAGCGCTGAACCAAGGGTTCGAGAAGAGCTCGGGGTAGTCCGTGATGCAGAGGTTGCACCTGCACCAGAGGAGAGTACCAGTAGGTCAGAACGAGTCGGGATGATTCGGGATACTTGTGATAAGAGAAATGAGCATATTCAGAACGCATGGAAGGGGGGCACGAGTGGAACGAAAGCGACATTTGGCGCACCTCGCAAGCTTCAGAGACGGAAGCAGCCAGGCTCAAAAGCCGGACCTCGACCTCAGTGCTACACTGATCCAGGCGACCCATGATAAACGTGATGACTTCGACCTTTCGATGAGCCGAGAGCGTGCGGATCAGCGCATCAATGGCCTGCTCGACTGTTTGACAGATGCCATCCGTCGGGGCATGGCGAATTTGTCTGCAAAGTTGTCAAAGTAAGCGCAGCAACGATGAGCGGCCGAGAGCTCGGAGGAGCGGCGGCAAATGCCCTGTGGGATGCACGTACTGAGTCAGCTGTTGAACAAGGGCAAGGGCCGAGGCTGCCGTAACCAACGAGTTGTACTGTTGCAGCATACGCGTGATGCCCTACACGTCAAGCCACAAAAGAAAAGCGATGATATGGCCAACTAAGCGGCGAAGCGAAGTGGCAACAAGGCTCAGAAGCAAGCGTATCATGAAATGCATGGGTGTCTACCTCAAGCACAGCGCTGCGAACTTCAATGGGGGTCGATTCTTGCAAAGTGAAGAGCATGCGATCCAACAAGATGTGATGTTGCTGAGCCTGTAGGAGAAAGGGGAGGGGGGTGGCCATCAATTGAGATGAGGCACGGGGGGTAGGGTGCCACTCGTAAACTTGCACCATGGCCAAGCAGCGCGACGTACGGGAAGGATGTGCAAGATGATATCGCAGACGAAAGAAAAGTATGTGGGAGGGGTGCCCTTGTAATGTTCAAAGTCGACGAGAAAGCTGTACAGCGCGTAAGGGCGTACATTCCGGTGTGAGGTTGAAAGGACGTTGTCTGATCATTTCAAAAGGTGTCTCTTTGTACAAGGCTTACGCGACAACTAAATCGAGGACGGCGCGGAGGTTGTTGAAGCCGGCCTGCAGCAGGAGGTCGGTCAAGCAGCTTTTGGCTTGCTCGCCATTCTCCACACGCTGATCGACCAGCGCATCAGCTGGGCGTGCATGTGGGTGCAATCTACAAGGGCCAATGGAAATGAGAAACAGTGGTGCATTCCAAATGCCAAGACGAACACGTGCAGCATGGACACAAGTGGGGTACAGCACCCACCCAGACATGTTGCGGAGAACGGCGTGGACAATTTTCAAGAGGTTCGATTTGTTCCACAGCAAGGCCTCCTCTTGGCCATGGCTGGCCTTGGACAAGATGCTCCGCAAGCCCTGCATACCTGTCTGGGCCCGCACGCTATCAGGGAAGGCAGAACGTCAAGAAGGCGTGTAAGTGTGAATAAGCACCAGTCGCGAGCCTCTGAGCGACCAAACATGCAGGCAAAACCCGTGACAGGGACGTACAGCGCCTCGCTAGAGACCTCATCCGCCTGCATAAAGCACATGCTGCTGAAAATGGCAATGAGAAAGTCTTGATGCCGCACGTAATCAACGGTCTGCGTCTGCAGAGAGGCAAATCGCTCAAACTGCAGAAGCAGGCATGAACGTGTGCAGGCCATGGATTGAGTAAGCCGGTGGGAAAGAACCAAGATGATGGGGAGGTGCATTGACGATCGAATGCCGGTTCGTACAGCGGTTGTGGCGCTTTGCTGATAAACGAGGTTGTCCGCCTCGAGCAGGTGCTCAATTGCCGAGAAGAAGGGTTCGACGAAGAGCGCCATTTGGGCGTGACAGGCAGTGATGAGCTGCTCATAAATTTGCGCGCCTACAACCACATACCTACGCAACGCATCATAACAAAAATCGCACAAATCGCCCAGAAAAAGGGCAAAGTCGACTGTCAGGTCTGATGGGCCAGCTATCAAAAGAGAACAACCATTGCGCTATTGATCAGTCGACAAGTGGACGCGTTCATACTCTTCATAGCCACGATCGCGAGCATAAGCAATCTTCTTGGTGAGGTAGCGGGCCATCTTGGGCAGCTTGCGTGGATTGGAAAGCGCGAAAAAGGTCAGGTGGCGCGCCGCATCTGCATGCCGCCAGGCCACCGCATTAGAAAAGACGGGCAGGTGATTTGGCACGCCCTCGCGCGTGCTTGGTGGAGGGTGAAGGAACAATATGGTCGGCGCGTACCTCGGTTCAGTCCCTCGCCTGCCGTGGCTGGATAAGCGGCGTCGATCTGGCGCATATAGCGCGACTTGCAACAGCAACCCGCCATGTTGAAATGGACCAAGCGACGATCACAGTGCCCGAGCCAGCGGCACCTCCGATCACTGTGCACGGTGCGCTACGCCTTGATGGGTGGACGCAACACCACACGTGCAGCCAAAGCACGACTCTCAAATCGATCTGCAAGACGGTATCAGAACACGCCAGCTTCAATCCGACCCGTTGGCTCGCTGATTCGGACCATCACCAACACGACACTGCACCCACAGCCACCGTCACCGTCACCGTCACCGTCACCGTCACCGTCACCGTCACCGTCGCCGTCACACACACACACACTTGATGATGTGTGTGAACCAAATGTTAGTCGCAGGGTCCTCGGTAAAATACTTTTAAGAGCCAAAGGCAACAACGGGTGGATGTGAAGAAAGTTGTAGTATTTTACTTCTTGTTGCTGTTGGGGTCGAGCTGAGCAGGCGCGCGAGTCGCCTCTCGTTCCCCCGTGCCGGCGGCGTTGCCGTTCTCTTGCCTCACAGTGGCTAATAGCAGCGCGCTTGGACCTGATTTTGGAGAAAATAAAGAAAGCGGAAGGAGAAGCAGCGGATGTTTGATCGTCTCCGCGTGTTGGCCAACGATTCCTTGTTCAAAGACCCGGCGTCATGGCCTTGGAAGAGGATCGCACGTTGGTTTTTGGCTCTGCACCCAACGCGCGTTTTGCGTGCCAAGCCCAGCGCTCGGTTCCAACACTTGTGGACCAGGGCGCTCAGCCACAGAGGCTTTGCTCACAAAACATGACGGGCAATCTCACCTTTGCTTTTGCTTTTTCCGATCTTCCTTTCGGTGCCGCCGCCTCATGGCTAGATATTACCACGGTCGCATCACGCGCGAGGAGGCCGTTGACCGTTTGCTCAAGGAAGGTGTGGATGGCAGCTTTCTCCTGCGCATGAGCACCACCCAGGATGGTGTGTACACCCTATCACTCATGTAAGACCAACTTGCACCGATAGTGCGCTGCTTCTTCCCATGCACTGGCAACTCGCTGAGAGAGCGGGCAGGCAACACATTTACGGCTCACGTTCCTCCCCTCCCACCTTTTCCTTTTGTCGTAGGCAGGGAGAATCGGTCCGCCATATTCGCATCGTCAACACCATCGATGGTATGAGATTGACAGGACCTCGCTCTGGCACCCGTTCTCTTGGCGAGCCTTGACCCAATCGACCGCCGTGTTTGGGCTCAACTTGCGCGACTCCTCAAACGTGTGGCCAACAGGTGGCTATGCCATATCAGCAGGTGATCCGGGTGTAGACAGCGTGTGGCAACTGGTCGAAACCCAGATGCACAACACGCTGACATCGGCTTACGATCGCTCAGACCAAGTTGCGCTGCGGTATGCCACCTCGTCCAAGACAAATTAAAATTGCTCGTCCGCCGTGCAGCGTGTTCTCTAGACCGCTGATCGGCCTGTGCAATTAGGTATCCACTCAAGGCCAACGGTGACGTGATTGCCCCCGATCTTCTCATGTCAGCTGGAGAAGCCGGCATTGATGCCGCTGACTTTGGCGATGATGTTGCCGCGTTCCTTGAGGGTGGCGTGAGTTGATGCTGACAATCAGCCACACACCCCTCCCCCCGCGCCCTGTTCTCTGCGCTACTCGTCCCTCAAATGCCTGATCTCCTTTCCACCCCTTTTGCCCGGGGAGCACTCACTGCCATGCCGTCATGCCCTTGCTATCTGCGCATCTCTGCCTCCTGTGTCCGTCAGGTGGATGCCAAGGCCTTGGCTCGCCAGCGCTCGGTCAAGATGTCCGTGCGACGCCCCAAAGACCTCAAGGTTTGTTTGGCTTCGGCGGCGCGTGAAGGGCGGGGCAGACTTTGGAGGACCACTGTATGCGTTTTCAAGTTGCAGGGCGATTTGAATCCTCAGATGCATTGTACACCTGCTTTTGGCGTGCCGTAGGTGGCCTCGCATGATGATCCTTTTGCTGGTCTCGAGTTGCCTTCCGACTTTGACCCAGGTATGGCATGAAGTTGGTTGCTTGACTTGGTCTCACGTATCGTGAACGCCTAAATATACCTTGACTTGTATGTGGCTGGGTAGACAACCTGCCCGAGAACTACATCGTGCCCGAAGACTAGTCCGCCCGCTTCAAGCTCTCTTAACCCCAGCCTACTCACTCGATGTTGATTCGATGATTAGCACAATCGGTGTTTCATACTCCCACGTTAGTTTGTGTGGCTGTGCTCGTTGTAGTTGTGGTGTCCCCCTTTGCCTGATGTGGTTTGTCATTGCATTGAATTGAACGCGATGACCATCTTCTCGTGTACCCCAGCGTCGTGTGATGCGAGGTGCCAATTTGCGATGTTGTTGACAACTGTTTGCAAAATTGATTGAGGAGTCGTCTAATAAAAAAGGATTGCGGAGGGGAGGGTGTATGTTTTATTTGGCTTTTGTGGTATTTTTAACTTCCTGTCTGGCTTTGCTGAGAGCCGCTTTTGGACTCAAAATGAAATGAAAAGAAACCGGGCCACCCAGTGCATGCGCTCAGGCAGTCGTGGCCACGTTCTAAGTGAGCGGAAATGAACGATCAGATCGGTACTCTAGACCGTGCACCAAGGTGTGCATTCCAAAAGAGGAGAGCTGAATAGGTTGAAACGCGGTTCAACATACCATCATGATCTGCGAAACCGTCGCAACTTGATCCGGAGGCCCGCAGACATGGACCGGAATGACGGTGAGCGCTATTGAGTCGGACAAAAGAAAGGCATCCACCGGCACGTCAGGTCAGAAACATGTTGGCATTTAAGACAAGAAACGAGGCCAGCCAGCTGTGGTTTCGTTTCCTGTTTTTATTTTTTTTTCCAAAGCGCGCGGNGGGGGGGGGGGGGGGGGGGGAAAAAAAAAA